GCATGGTTAGGTTCATTGCATTTTACATCTTAATTTGCTAAGTCATACATTCCTCGGGGAGTATAGTAGATTCCATGCATACCACCACATATCGTACCTAGACTGGTGTCCTATAAATCCACTACGGGTTATACCCTAACTGATGTCATGTATACCAGAGTGGGATATACCCGGACCGGTGTCCTATAAAACCAACGCAGGATCATATCATGACGATGTCCTGTAAATTCAGTTACTATAGTGACTGCACAACAGAGCGCTTTAATGTTTGTATTAAGTTATCACACAATTCCAGTTACATTCAGTCACATATTTAATATTTGATGATAATGTGAAGTGAAGACAAAGTGTCTCAATAACTAACATTTGCTTTGACATCATTCGTACAATGTTGAAGGTAAGAAGCATAGAGAATAGTTTGGTTGTACTTTGATATAATGGTGGAAAAGGCTAGCATACACTCGAGGTGTAATATGCACCTTCATTCATACCTATTAGTTGTATGTTAATATATTTTGACAAATAAGAATCGGTGGTTATTATTTTTCATTAAATGAATCGGTACGATTTGGATTAGAGAATTAGAGACCGTGTTTCACCTATTAGAGAATATGGTATATCATAATGTCCCAAACTCCGTTAATACATGGTCTAACTACCAACTCTATAGGAGTACTGTAAGGTGGCGTACACGAGCTTAAACCATGTACAACTTATGAAGTTGACAATTGTTGGTCAATCAAAGATCCGATTGGTCATAATAATATTTTCCAAGCGTGATGAAGTTACAGCGTTGTTTGACTTTATTGTTGATCATCATTAAAACATAGAGTAAATGTAGCGACCCTCATATCAGATAAGTCAGTGATAATAGGTAACAATAATAAATAAATATGAAAATTAGGAATCTGATACCATTGAAAAAAATAACACATAATAGAAAGAAAAATACAAACAAATGACACTCGCCGCCCATCGGGCGGGCACAAAACTAGTTCCCCAAATAAGAGGGTATATTCTTAGGAGTTTCGGCTCCTATAAATAGTCGTCTCCCAGCCTCTCTAAAGACACCGCAAAGCAAACGAGCAGAAACATGAAAGAGAGGGTGTTCAAAGAGTTATGGTTTTTGCACAAAAACAGTCGAGCACAAGAGGAGCTGTTTTATCCTGAAGACGACCGGTTGATAGTCTGCCGCTCCACTACAAAAAAGAAGAGGTTTGGGGATGACAAAAGTCGTCCCAGGAAATAAGCAAAATTGTCCCCATAGTTTTTGGGGATGACTAAGTCGTCCCCAATATGTTGTCCCTTATACGCTTGTCCTCTATTCTTCTGGAGACGACAAAAAAGTAGGTCGTCCCCAATACTAGGGACGACAGTCGTCCCCAATACTTATAAGTTGTCGTCTATTTATTTTTCATAAAAGACAACATGTCGTCTCTGTAACTATGACTTTGGTGACAAGAAGTCGTCCCCTAAATATTATTTTTAGGAACAAATCATTGTCCCCTCTAATTTAGTTCGGGTTAATTGCACGGTTGGTCACTGAAATTACAAAAAACGTTCAAGTTTGGTCACTCAAAATATTTAAATCCATTGGTGGTCCTTCAGTTTACTCAAACCGTTCACGTTTGGTCACTCTCCGTCCAACTCCGTTAACTTTGGCTGATGTGGCAGTCAACTCTCAAAGTTGACCGTTAACTTAGTGACGTGGCAACTAAAAAATTATTAAAAATTAAAAAATTAATTTTTTATATTTTCCACCTCATTATTACATTCATAAAAAAATTAAAAAACCAAATACCCTACCCGACCCAATCCCCCTCTCCAAATCGGACCTACAGGAATTAGCCGCCGACGGCTCTTCTCTCCGTCCCTGATTCTGCAGCTGCTGGTTGTCATTTTTGGATTGGCCCCAAGCTCGAATCTTTTACAGAGTTTCGTGCTTCTCGGCGCGTTCGCTCTCAATGACGTCGATTTGATCGAAGACGAAGCTGATGCGTGCGGAAAGGGAAGAGGATTTTGGAGGGTCGGAAGGTGAGGCGGCGGCGGAAGAGGTGGAATAGGGTCGGGTAGGGTAATTGAAAGATTAGGATATCAATGGCGATCCCCAACAAGAGGAGGGCCATCAGACATGGAGTAGAAACCCTAGTTGAAGGTCCGGAGAAAAGATCGACGCAAAGTCGCGTTACGAACTGGCGGTATCAGAAGAAGACAAACGATGCAAACCAGCATCGGGCATCATCATCGGTCGAGCGGGATCAACCAGCGATGAGAGCTGTAGCCGCAAGGAAGGTGTTGTCCAACGTTCCATCGTGGCCGCCGCCGTCACTGGAAGAACTCATCTCCGTCACAGTCACGCCTTCATCGTCAATGATTACGAGAGGAGACCCGCTAGTGCTGGGCTTGTTGTATGTGGGGAGCATTTTGGAGAAGCTCGTACGTGGGGAGACTTCGGGGGAACCTCCTGGACATGGGATTGTTGTATTTCCATGGAGGCCTAGGAGATGAATTATCACTAATGGTGTGGAAACTGAAAAGGCCAGGCCATCCTCTGTTTTTTTCCTGCTATTAACAGAGTATCATCAAGCAACAAGGAATTACACATTGACTGGGAAAGGGAAATGGCCAAGTATGGCCGAATCTCATGGAGTGAGAAAGAGCCGATTATCAATGCAGTAAACACCTCGAATGGAGCACCATACTCGCCATCGAACGTGACGATCGAGATTCACACTAGCAGAATCGCTGGAGTTCATTCGATGCAGGGGGGTCTCCACTCTGACACCGACAGTCGAGAGGCAGAGCCGGTGACAAACCACCGGTTCGACCTATTGGAGTTTCGAGTCGAGTCCTAGGAACCAAGGTTGTCGGCGGCTCCAGCTGTGCGAATGGCGGAAGCTCCGGTCACGTTGCCGACCCTATTCCACCTCTTCCGCCGCCGCCTCACCTTCCGACCCTCCAAAACCCTCTGTAAAAGATTCGAGCTTGGCGCCAATCCAAAAATGACAACCAACAGCTGTAGAATCAGGAACGGAGAGAAGAGCCGTCGGCGGCTAATTCCCGTAGGTCCGATTTGGAGAGGGGGATTGGGTCGGGTATTTGGTTTTTTATTTTTTAATGAATGTAATAATGAGGTGGAAAATATAATTTTTAATTTTTAATTTTTAATAATTTTTTAGTTGCCACGTCACTAAGTTAATGGTCAACTTTGAGAGTTGACTGCCACATCAGCCAAAGTTAACGGAGTTGGACGGAGAGTGACCAAACATGAACGGTTTGAGTAAAGTGAAGGACCACCAATGGATTTAAATATTTTGAGTGACCAAACTTGAACGTTTTTTGTAATTTCAGTGACCAACCGTGCAATTAACCCAATTTAGTTCATTATAGTATTCCACTATTTATGGATAATACATTGTCCATTTCCTTTTTGTAGAGTCCACGTGTCGTCCATAGGAGACAATAAGTTGTCACCTATATGAATTTTAGGGACAAACAATTGTCACTTAATTTGTACTTTGGGGAACGAAAATTTGTCACTATAATTTTTAGGGACAATGTATATTTGAATTTGATACCAAATTGATACGGTGCACAATTTATTATGTGACATTATATATAGATACACACGAAACTATATTTCAATGTATATATATATACAATTGTACAAATGATAAAACATAAAAAGCAAAATTACAACTTTTGGACGAAATAAAATTACAATTGCTTTGCTGGCTACGGGTTGCGTTGATATCATCTTGTATGATTTGATTTTCGAAAATAGGTGTAGGGATATGGATCTTCATCGTTGGTCGCGGCTCACGATCCATGAGCCAATCACCATGCCTCCCAATAATCTAACCAGTGTCACAAACTCACCGAACCTCTCCTACTGTATTTTTTCTCACCATAGCGCTGGCTATTACGAGCAAAGTACAAAACAACGGACAATTAGGAGCTTAACAAAAATATATTCAAAAGAAAAATCAAACTAACTCACCTACATCAAAACTTAAATACAAGGGGATCAAATCTGCAATCATTACCATGTTCCGCGATCGAGTACGAAAGAGGATAATCGAGGGACTTGGATCAGAAGTTCAGAACAAGAACAGATGAAAATTGAAAGAAGAGTCGGAGTTCGAGAGAGAAAGAGACGGAAGAGTGAGAGACGATGAAAAATAAGGTAGAGGAAAGGAGTCTGTGCGGCTATAGAGATATAAATAAAAACTAGGTTAAGCTCAAAGCAAATCGATGATTGTCATTGAGAGACTAATATAACAGTGAAGGATACTTAGTATCTAATTAATTGATTCTATCTCATAAACAGAAAAGGACGTATAAGGCAAAAATGGAAATATCAAAGATAGTTTGCAAACAAAAAATCTAAACCTTTGGTCGCCAAAAATAGATTTCCATGTGCGGGTGAAATAGTTTTTCGTTACTTTCGGGGAAATACAAAAAATTTGGCGTCAGATTCCAACTTCTACGCCCATTAATTAATTTTATAATTAAAATAATCATCCGATAAATCATACAATCTTTTTTTGGTGATAACTATCCACGGCAATCTTCTATTTCTGCCAAATCTTTTATTTGGGGACGAATAAGAAATAAAAAAAAATTTTCTTTTTTTTTATGAGGACAATTTTACACACTTGTCTTCTCCTATCTCACTTATAATTATATTTCTTGAGACAAATAACATAGTTGTCCCCAAACATCTTCTTTTTTTGTAGTGCTCGCAACGAATGTAATGCCGCGAACGTTTTAAAGAAAGCGACCTAATCCGCGTCTTAGCTCCGGATTCGATAACCCCGTTCCTTGTTGTTGTTTCGGTTCTAACAGGGCTTGCTACTAAGTTTAACTGTGCCAGCTTAATGAACTATTACTGGATTGTTGATCTAATGAAAAAGCATCTTTGCTGTTCATGTGTCTGATTTCGATTGCAATTTCAATTTGGGTCTCATTAGTTTTCTGTCCTTTTACAGCCTTGAGGAGGACCCAGTGCTACTGTACCCCCCAATTGGGGTTTTAAATGGTACTTGGAACGCCTTATGTTTCTTATCCTTTTTTCCTCTGTCTCTGTTTCGACCGTTTCTCTGATTTTTGTAAGCATGGATCCGGTTGAGTGCCATCGATCGGCGGCTGAGTTGTTACAAGCTCAAACGCACATCTACAACCACACCTTTAGCTTTATCAACTCGATGGCACTCAAGTCTGCTGTTGAGCTTGGAATCGCCGATGTTATCCACACCCACGGCAAACCCATCACCCTTGCTGAACTCGTTGCCGCGCTCAACATTGGGACAACCAAGACGGCTTACGTGTATCGGCTGATGCGGGTGCTCGTCCACTCTGGTTTCTTCCGAGTAGTGGAAGAAGCTTACGTGTTAACACCATCTTCGAAATTGCTGGTCAAGGACGATCCGAACTGCTTGTCTACCATGGTGAAGATGCTGACTCAACCTGAGTTCCTAACTCTGAGTCACGTCTTGAAAGATTGGATCAAGGATGGCCAGGTTTCTTCCAGTACTACTACAGCATTTGAGAAAGCACATGGAATGGCGTTTTGGGAGTATGCCAATGGAAAACTTGAATTCAATGCCCTTTTCAATGAAGCCATGGCTTGTGATTCTGCCATGATGAACATGACTGTGAGAGTCTGTGGAGTGGTTTTCCAAGGAATTGATTCTTTGGTTGATGTTGGTGGAGGGACAGGGACATTTGGCAGGATATTAACAGAGGCTTTTCCTGGTATGAAATGTAAGGTTCTTGAGCTTCCTCAAGTTATTGATCACTTGACTGGTACCTCGGGGAGCTTGGAGTTTGTTCAAGGTGATATGTTTCAACATGTCCCTTCTGCCCACGCCGTCTTGCTCAAGGTACGTAATATGCCTTCTCCGATCATTCAATTCTCACGGTTGTAGTCTAGTCTTGCTGATGATGCTGTTTGACCGGAGAAATGACCATGTTGCATGTCGTTTTTAATGATCTGTTATGGATCATGTTAGATTATGCTCTTTGAATAACCTGTTATCGTAATTAAACAAACAAAAGCATCAAGTTTTAATACATAGATCATTATCCGGATAATTTGTGATGTTTGGAGGAATCGGGAAACTGAGAAAAATTTCAGCATTGCGGCACCTCCCAATTGGGCTGTTGTTTTTGATTGCTTGTGGTGGGTTTGGATTAGGATGGCAATTACCCACAATGGGTAATTATACCCAAATCCAAGTAGACCTATTGATAATTGGTTGGGTATGGGTGAAGTGCATATGGGTTTGGGGGGTTTGTAGATGGGTTTGGGTAAGGTATGAATATTGCTTTCATATCTAAATGGGTATGGGTTGGATATGGATATCCATTTACTTGAGGATGTTTAAACTACACATGCAAAAATTGGACCTATTTGCAAAACTTGAAAATTTTAGGTACCAAAATGTAAGACCAAAAAATTTGTGTATCAAAACGTAATTTTCCATCGATATTTTGAGGACTTATATGCAAAAAAAAAAATTAGGTACCAAACTATAATTTGTATTTGGGCATGGGTACAAATCCAAATCCATTTGTTATAAACCCAACCCAACTCAAAGTAGATGGGTATGGGTACAAACCCATCAAACTCTACCCATATCCATCTATTTGGATTTCATACCCAACCCAATTGGGTTGGATAGTTAAAAACCCATGGGTATGGGCAAAATTGTCATCCTAAGTTTGAATTGAATGCTGGTACAGACGATTTTGCACGATTGGAATGATGAAGAGTGTGTCAAGATCCTGAAGAAATGCAAGGAAGCAGTTTTGAGCAGAGGGGAGGGAGGGAAGGTGATAATCATTGACATTGTGATGAACGAGAAGAAGGATGAACATGAATTGGCTGGAACCAAGCTCTTGTATGACTTGTTGATGATGTTGGTGGTTAATGGGAAGGAGAGGAGCGAAAAAGAATGGGAGAGGCTCTTCTTGGAAGCTGGTTTCAAGCACTACAAAATCACTGCTCTGGTTGGCCTGAGGTCGCTTATTGAAGTTTTTCCTTGAAAGGAAAATAAATAATTTATTTATAATTGTGTATCCTATAAAGGTTAAATGCGTGTGATTTTAGAGTGTGTTTCTTTATTGGTAAGCTGTTTCAGTATATTACGTCGAAAACACAATTACATCATCTAGCAACAGTTAGTCAACAAGAAAATTAGCTGTCAGCTTAACTTTCCAATGTCCCAATGAGTCTCACTATATATCAGTACTAGTAATCCGCCCGCGCTCTGCCGCGGGATACGTTTGATTTGTGTAATCTATTGTTATCGTGTTGAGTGGACACATAAACGGGACCAGTTAGGGTAACAACACTCTTTGTGTTGTTATTGTAACAACACTAGTCTCCAACCAATAGGAAGCTAGGGTTGTGATGACTTTTTATTAGATGAGTTGACCTAGTGTAAAATCAAAGCAGGGGTATAATTGTCATTATGAAAAATATGTTTAAATAATAAAAAAATTATAAAATAAAAATAAAAAATAAAAAATATTTTTTTTATTTTTCGGCCCAAAAATTTGGTCGCCGGAATTCAGCCATCGGTCGCCGGAATCTGGTCGCCGGTCACCGGAATATGCTTTTTTGTCGCCGGAATATGCTTTTTTGTCATCGGAATATGCCACCGTCGCCGGAATATGCTCACCGTGGTCGGAATATGCTTACCGGCGTCGGAATCTAGTAATCGGGGCCGGAATATGCCTATCGGCGCCGGAATCTACTCACTGACGGTCATCGGAGTTTGGTCAACGATTTTTGTTGACCGGTCAACGGTCTTCGTTGACCGGTCAACGGCCAACGACCACCGGATGTTATGGTCTGCATTGTGATATTTATGGTTTGGTTTCTCATATTTTTGTATGCCTTTTGTGGTTTGCTTTATCGTGTTTGTGGTTTGCATTAAGAAGTTTCTGGTTTGCTTTATCGTGTTCGTGGTTTGCATTGAGAAGTTTCTGGTTTGCTTTCAAAAATTTTGTGGTTTGCATTGTGAGGTTTCTGGTTTGTTTTAATATATTTGTGGTCTGCATTAGGACGTTTTAGGTTTGCTTTTTTGTGGTTTGCTTTATCGTGTTTGTGGTTTGCATTATGAGGTTTCTAATGTGTTTTTGAAAATTCTGTGGTTTGCTTTGCGAGGTTTCTGGTTTGTTTTAATAGATTTTTGGTCTGCATTAGGACGTTTCTGGTTTGCATTAAGAAGTTTCTGGTGTGCTTTCGAAACTTTTGTGGTTTGCTTTGCGAGATTTCTGGTTTGTTTTAATAAATTTGTGGTCTGCATTAGGAGGTTTTTTGTTTGCATTATGAGGTTTCTGGTGTGCTTTTGCAAATGTTGTGGTTTGCTTTGTGAGCTTTGTGGTTTGTTTTAGGAGATTTGTGGTATGCATTAGGAGGTTTATGGTTTGGTTTATTGTGTTTCTTGTTTGCTTTAGAAATGTTTGTGGTTTGCTTTGTGTTGTTTTTTTGTACGTTTTAGGAGATTTACGGTATGCATTAGAAGGTGTATGTTTTTTGTTTTTGTTTTTTTTAATGTGTTTGTGGTTTGTATTAAAAAGTTTATGGTATACTTATGCAATATTTGTGGTTGGTTCCATTTGAAATCCAAAACTAAACTGGGGTAACACAGGCATATTGCCCTATATACAAAGCCTGTGCAGTTATTAGGCAAATGATAAACTTTGCAAACCAAATTAAACCAAAAGTTTCAACCACTCAAAAGACCTAAAAAGATATCAAGTAGCACACCAAACACAACCCAACGGACCCCTTTTCCAAGTCTTCTTATTCTCAAACAACTCCCATAACACAACAAAGAAGGCATTCGCCGTTCTAGATGGAAATGCTATATGGAACTCCCTTCTCTGTAACTCCACTTTCTGAAAACGGCTTCAGAAGCTCACAAGGATATATACCAGCTCCGACCCTGTTCTTCCTCGTCGAATCAGCATTCCTCGCGCAAAGTCAGAGTTGTGAGAACTTGAAAAGCCGGCGTGGGCAACCCAAATTTGAGCGTATGAAGCCGGACTGCTCTCAAATTCAGAGTCTCCAGCGTTTGATTGCAAAGGGAGATGGGCTAGCAAAGAGAGGGGAACACGACAGATGTGTCCCCAAATCCAGGGCAATGGAGGAGCGATACCTGTCGAACCCCATGCTAGGTGCAGAAACGGAGAAACAAGAATCTGTTCGCCGTAATCTTTGAAACTCTCCACGTTGTTGTTGAAGGATTTCCCAACGAAATTCAGGCCGGGAACCGTTTGATCTCCACCTGCTCGACAAAATGCCGCTTCGAGCCGCCGACTAATTGGTGTCAAGGAAGGAGAGGATGCAGTGGAGAATTTCGTCGGGCAAATCGCTCAATCTGTCGGGGCTGGCTCCTTTGACAAATCGAGGGATCGACATCGGCGTCGGCGTCGAAACCAGGAGGGAGAAACAGCTTGGATGGAGGAGGTTAAGTGGTGGCAGAGGATATTGAGCGGTGGTTGCTGATGGTTCGGATATGCGGTGGGAAGAGCCTTCCGAGTTCCGGCCGGAGAGGTTTCTGGACAGCGGCGTGGGAGACGGGATCGGGAGGAGGCCTTTTGATTTCATGGCGAGAAGAGATCGAGAGACGAAGAGGGGGTGGCTGGGGAATTAAAATTTATTTTTTTAATTTTAATTTATTATTTTGTGTCAGTTTACCCTTTTACCCTTAATGAATCTTGTTGTTAGTATAACAACACTATGAGTGTTGTTATACTATCCACTCCCCACATAAACATGGCATCTACAAATCACATCTTAATATTTGGATTTGTACATCATGCATTTTTAGACTTTGTATCATCATGTGTTTTATTTACTATAATTAGTTATTGATTTGCTACTTAAAACTCAAGCAAAATACTATTGAACTTGCATGCACCTCATAGAGCAAAGCAGACAATTTTAAGAAGGCTGAATTGTACATAAGAGCTTTGCCACAATTTAGCATTATGACTTAGGACTCATGATAATCTATGCAGGCGCAATAAAAAATGGGGAAAACCATGTGTAAGGGTATATTAAAACAATTATAGCAAGTAGTAAATTACATTGGCCAAGATAATATTTGAATACACAGCTGGCACAAATAAGCTGAAATTTTGAATCTTCCCCAGCTAATAACGACCCAAGCCAACCAAGAAAAAGTACAGAGAATTTCAGGGCGTTCAATGAAGATCCCCCAAAGTAAAATTCAACTTTAAACTTCTAATTGATCAACTGCAAGAAAAAGTTGGCGTAACAAATGTGGTCACGTAACCTATATTGGTCTTGTACCTTGATAAACCTGAAAATAAAAGGTACACATCACAATTCTTTAGAGCTCAAATTATATTACCAATTATTTAGACATCAAGGAAACATGTTAGTTGGAAAGGAGAATAAAACATGATGGCGGTTGACAATTTATTGAAGGCTCGCTGGTGCTAGCTAAATAATTCTGCAGTTCCTTTGAAAGTGTACTGAATAATTGTTGTTTTTTCCTCTGCTGTGCAATCAGGGGAAAGCACACAAAGAACGTTGTGCTTTGCCAAAAAGAAAGGAAAGCACACAAACTAACTGCAATTGCAAGGGTCTGATGACCACAAACAAAAAAGCATGGCAACAGGAGAACAAATATTAGTACACAGGTAGATAGCAATTTCTCATGTAACAGAAAGACACAAAACCATCATCAACATTGCAGAACCCACCTAACCCAGTTACATTTAACAAAATATCCTTATCACACAACAACCTTTCCTCAAGTCCAAAAAAACCAGCTGCAAAAAATCAAAGAAACAAAGTCAATTGGAGGTTGTTAATCGCAAACAAAAGCTGAAACTCATGAAGGCAAGTCAGACATCCTCGTTAAACAATCTATATGGCAAAGGTTACCTGCTTGGTTCAGTTGGACGCACGTCGATGAGGGGAATACTCTGCAAACACCACAGTTAGAAATGAAGAGGGAAGTAAAAAATATTAAAAGTAAGATGTATATAGAATCAGCCAGCAGTAAACAGAGAAGAGAGAGAGACTGAAAATCTCACCCAACGTCACTATTTCGAGGCCCCCTTCCTTCGCTTGGGATTTTTCAACTGATTGATCTTCAAACACAAAAAATCCTCTCCTCTAGATGGTATGTATGTGGGTTTCAACAACCATCACCGGCCACCCAAACCTCTACCAGGAACTCGCCGCATGCATCTGTTTAAAAGAGAGAATAATTTACAAATAAAGCTGAGAAAAAGCAAAACATCGCAGCAGAGAGATGAAGCAAAAAGATCCAATTCTCACCGCATAATGTTAGAGGTGCATTTAAAACATCAAATTCTTACCAGGAACTCGTCGCATGCATCTATTAAAAAATCTCGCTCTCCTTCGTCGGGATCTTGAGTCCACACAGTGGGTCTTATCCAATGCCGATCTACAATCTAAACCCCAAAAAATCAAATGAGATCACAAAAAGACTTACAGGTGCATCAAATCTTACACAGAGCTGGGGTCCTTCGTTCCTTGGAGAGGTCAGAGATGATAATTAAACCTGCATAAAGGATCGAACAAATACACTGAGAAAGGATGAGAGAACGAACCCATTTAGGAACAAAGAGAAACAAATACCCCTAAGAAGAGGAATAACAATCTGGTTCTCGTCGATCGATCTCGTTTCTCCGCCGTGCGTCCTCTCCAACGTTGATCTACAATCCAAACCATGGAACTTGATTGCCTCCCTGGCTGTGAACTCAGTGCAGATACCCCTTGCCGATTTGAGTCTCCTCTGATTCCTCTCTCGACCTCTCAAGTTCTCCTTCTCGAGTTGATCGCTCCAAGTCACTGATTTCCGGAATGGGTATGCGAGAAACAAAGCAGAGAGAAGTGTCAGGAGGAGAGTGGTAAGAGGAAAACATAGAAACTAAACACACTACTGAGTTTTTCCAACCAAAAGAACCCAATAGGGACAAAGAGAAGAGAAGATAAAAAAAACAAAGAAAATAGAAACCGGAAGGTAAATCTGGAAAGAGAAGGGAATCATAGTCCCAAAGAAACAAAGAATGAGATTGGTAGCTCACCTGAATAGACAGATATGGTTGAACAATAATAGGAAAACGGTAGTCCTCTGTAGTACTCCTAGAGCCTCTTGAACAGCTGCGAGTGGAGGAGTTTCAGGCACCTCAGTCTCATCCGCCTCAGCATCGGCCGGTAAAGATGCAGAGGTTCCTCCGGCGAATTTTAGCCGGTTCTTAGGCGGCTCTTCACATCCCAAAAGTTCAGAGAAAGTAGGGAGAGAAGAAAAAGAGAGAGAGAGAGAGCGAGAGAGAGAGAGAGAGAGAGATGAGGTAGATGGGGATCGTGTGAGAAGGAGGAAGGGGAAAGAGAAGATACACTTTTATCTGCTCTCTCTCCCTAAACGTCGCCCAGTCTCCATCATAGGGCTCCGGATAGCATAACAACACCTAAGGTGTTGTTATTATAACAACAGGGGTATAAGGGTAACTGCACAATAATAACTGCACAATAATTAAATAATTGTTTTCTTTTACCTGGCATTAATTTTGAAATTCAAAAATAATAATAAAATTCATTGAAGCGCGCGTTGAGACATTTCAGTTTTCCGCTTTCCCCTTTCCCCTTTCCCCTCTGCTCACGAACTGCTCTCCGACGGGACGTCTGCTTCGGTCTCCCTGTTCTCGCCACCAAATTTGCATCTGCATCGAGCGATTTCGTCTGCGGCTTGTGGATTTCCTTCGCGCGATTCTGTTTCCTCCGTCGCCGAAGTGAATTTCGAGGTATGCCGGTGATTTCCTCCGATAAACTGGAACTGTCTTCTCCTCCGTCGTCAGTTTTGGTCTGCGAAGTCGCCGTTGTCGTTTAGCGTCGCCGGAGTTCCACTTGTATGGTGTTAGTTTGGCGTCACCGTTTTCGTTTTCGTTAGCATTGTCATTGCTTGCTTCTGCTATTGAATTTACAACCTTCGTTTTCATGTTTGCCCTCTGTTACTTTCGTTTTCCAGTTTTCTGCGATGTTTTGACGCATGCAGTCTAAATTTGTTGAAGGAGACGAGGAAATTTCATAGTTGTGCGTTCTGGTTAGGTTTTGTTGGATGTTTCTTCATTTTTGTGGTGTGCTTTGATTATTTTAGGGTTTCTGGTTTCTCATGAGTCGTTTGTGGTGTTGTTTAGTAGTTCTGTTGTTTTTTTCTATATTTTGGTGGTGCGCTTTGTGTTTGGTGACAGTTAGGGTGTTTGTGGGTTGGATTGGGGCCTTTCTGGAGGGTTTTAATAAAACTATTGTGTATTTTAGGGTTTCTGGTTTCTCATGAGTCGTTTGTGGTGTGCTTTGTGTTTGGTGACAGTTAGGGTGTTTGTGGGTTGGATTGGTGCCTTTCTGGAGGGTTTTAATAAAACTATTGTGTACTTTCAGGCTACTGTTGGTGGTTCTTTTAAAATGTTTTGTGGTTTGTGTTTCGGATTTCACAGTTTGGTTTAGAAGATTTACTGGTGTGCATTTGCAGTTGTTGTTTGTCTCCTTTACATCTGATTATTGAGTCGTTTGTGGTGGTGTTCAGTAGTTCTGTTGTTTTGTTCTTTTTTTTTTTGGTGGTGCGCTTTGTGTTTGGTGACATTTAGGGTGTTTGTGGGTTGGATTGGGGCCTTTCTGGTGTTTTTCCAGGGTGATGTTGGTGGTTCATTTGGAGTTGTTGTTTTGTCTGCTTTAAATTTGATTATTGGATTGTTTTCATGGGTTTACAGTTTGCATTAGGCCCTTAATGGTTTGGATTTTATATGTTCTGGTTTGAGATTGCTTATGTTGGTTTGTGTTTTGGTTGCTTTGTAGGCATGGCACCTGCTAAGAAACGTGCAGTAAAGGGGAAAGAAAAGGAAAAAGTTCCAACACCTAAGCAAGAGAAAGATGGTGCAGTAAGGGGAAAGAAAAAGAAAAAGTTGCAACACCTAAGCGAGAGAAAGATGGTGCTTCTCCTGTGCCTGGAAAGCCGGATAAGAGGCATCGTAGTAATACTAATCGTATTCTTGGCATCATGGAAGCTGACAGTACAAGTGAAGAAAAACTGCAGATGCTTGATCCTCTGGGTTTTAGGGGTGTGTCGAGGGTTAAGCTTACGAGACTCCCGGATAATTTTATTGAATGGCTTTGCAAAAGCTTTGATGTGAGTTCAAGGTCTTTCCCGCTGCTACGGTCAGGGAAGTTTAGAATTGGAGAGGCAGATGTGGAGAGAGTCTATGGTTTGCCGCGTGGACCGTATGCTGTTCAGCTGGATATGTTCAGTGCAGCCCAGAGGCACAGGTGGGGAATTGAGTTAGGGCTTTCCAATACTAAGAAAGGAAAGGCGTCATTGGCAAACGTTAAACTGGCATTGGAAGAGGAGAGGGACAATAAGAAGTGGAGGGATCTTTTTGTACTGTATGCAATGGAGGCAGTTCTGTGTCCCAGTGGAAATTTGAAGATTAACCTCGCCTATGCTGGTTTTTTGCAAGATGAAATGGTCGCTGACTTCACCCAATATAATTGGTGTAAGCATGTGGCTGACCATTTTAATGACAGTATGGTTGAAGTGGTTCAATCAATATCAAAGTTCCCTGGTGACGTTCATCTTCTTTTTGTAAGTGAATAAATATACCCCTTTTCGAATTTTGGTTTACTGTTTCATTTATGGTTTGTTTATTGACGAATGTGGTGTGGTTGAAGATGTTTATGGTTTGTTTAAGAGTTTTAATGGTTTGCTTTTGCCCCCCCCTGTGTTATAATGTTTCTGGTATTGTTTTTCATTTATGGTTTGTTTATTGACTAATGTGGTGTGGTTGAAGATGTTTATGGTTTGTTTAAGAATATTTATGGTTTGCTTTACCCCCCTTTGTTATAATGTTTCTGCTATTGTTTATCATTTATGGTTTGTTTATTGACGAATCTGGTGTGGTTGAAGATGTTTATGGTTTGTTTAAGAATATTTATGGTTTGCTTTTGCCCCTCCCCCCCTGGTTGTGTGGTGTGTATTATAATCTTTCTGGCACAGTTTGTTTGTGGTTGCTTGACTTCTGTCTGTTTGTATATGTGGCAGATTTCGATTCTTGACCGTGTGAAGAACCCCCCTGAGCTGCCCATACCGACCTATAAGCATAGGTCGTACAAAGTCGCAAGTGCTGCTTTTCAAGTACTGATGGACGAAGGTCATCTCAATATTGGTCATCGAGATGTAGTGATGGAAGAAGAAGCAACCTCCAGTCAACCAATGGGACGAGAACGTGTGCTGGGTTCAAAGAGGAAAAGGCCGGTAGATGATCTTGATATGGTGAGGGAAGGGGATCTTCCGAAGCTTCCCCATCTTGACCTCAACTTGGATGGTGTTCATTCGGTTGAAGAAGTGAGTGATTTTTTCTGTGTTATTCGTTTTATGTCTTTCTTTAGAGTACTTTCAGTGTGCTTTACAAGTATAGTGGTTTGCATTAGTTTGTTTACAGAATACTTTATTTTATTCATGTGCTGGTTAGTTGTGTTTTCTGTTGTTTGTTCTTTGGCTTGCTTTAGTGTACTTGTGGTTTCTATTAAAAGAATAGTGGTTTGCATTACTTCGTTAAAGGAATATTTTATGGTACTCATCGTTTGGTAGGTGTTTTTCTGTGAGAACTCAAACATATGTGGTTCGTATAAGTGTGTTTTAGGTGTTCATTAAAAGGAATGTGAGATTCTTTAGAAGGTTTATGGTTTGCTTTTGGGCTGTTCAGTAACTTTGGGCTGTTTTCGTGTTTTTGTAGGCATATCAGTTGAAGAATGACATGGAAAGTTATAAGAGGGCTTTGTTGAGGATGGCTGCTCATTACAGTTCGAGCATTGAACAAGTTGATGATCATATAAAGATGCTGGAGGGGCAGCAACCAGAGGATAGTCCTGAAGATAATGTCGATTTCACTGATAGAGTTGATAATGTTTCTGTTGCTAAGGGAACCAATGATGTCGGTCGCAATGCATCTGCTGCCAATGCTGATGATGAGACTGGTGCTAACAGTCCAAAGTCCCCCGGTCTTGATGATTTGTCAATGGAGATGGATAAGGATGGTGCTGGTAGTGTTGATGTTGTGTTGCCAGATGTTGGTCACAATGATCCTGCTGGCACTGCTAATGATGATACCTCTCCTAAGGGAGTGTTAGATTCGGAGGGACTTGATGATCATCTTGATAATCTGACAATGGAGATGACACAAAAAAGTGTTGATTCTGAGAATGCTAAGAAGGTGATGGAGATGGACAGCTGTGAGGAAAAGGGACAAGGTGATGATGGAGATGACAATGTTGATGCTGCTAAGTTGGATAACTTGGTTGAGAAGGTCGTAAAGGTATTCTTACTGTTTTGTGTTTGAATATTTGTGGTGTGGATTATACTGTTTTTGGTTTGTTTGTCATGTCTTTTGTAGTTGGTTGTTTTGCATTTGTTAGTGGTGTGGTTTACATATATCTGGTTTTGTTAAACACTTTTGTGGTTTGGTTTCTGTAGTCTGCTATGGGGGATGTTTGTGAAGATGTGGTGGTTGATGAGAAAAGGAAAGAAGCTGATTCTGAGAATGCTAAGAAGGTGATGGAGATGGGCAGCTGTGAGGAAAAGGGACAAGGTGATGATGGAGATGACAATGTTGATGGTGTTGATGCTGCTAAGTTGGATAACTTGGTTGAGAAGGTCGTAAAGGTATTCTTACTGTTTTGTGTTTGAATATTTGTGGTGTGGATTATACTGTTTTTGGTTTGTTTGTCATGTCTTTTGTAGTAGTTTGTTTTGCATTTGTTAGTGGTGTGGTTTACATATATCTGGTTTTGTTAAACACTTTTGTGGTTTGGTTTCTGTAGTCTGCTATGGGGGATGTTTGTGAAGATGTGGTGGTTGATGAGAAAAGGAAAGAAGCTGATGCCGGTGAGGTGCTTGAGGGTGGTGATGGTAGTGGAGATTTAACATTGAGTCAGCTAGTTAGGGAGGGAAAGGTAATTTGTTATACAAAGGTAATTTGTTGTACTATGTTTCAGTTTTGGTTTGTGTTAGTTGTTTTTAGTGTTGTTTTATCTAATTTGTGGGTTGCTTTAAAAATCAGAAAAAAATTTAAAGTGAAGAATGCAGGAAGCTCATCCGGTGTTGATATTGATGTGTTGAAGGGTGCTGTGTTGCGATATGCAAGGGATTCGACTAACTTGTAAGTTAATGTGTATAGATTTCATACATATGCGGTTGTTTGTATATATTTTTTTATATAGTGCTTATTAGTACTTTTCTAATGCCGACTGTTTTGTTTGTTATGGATTATGAAAAATAGGAAGGAAATCCTTTTCAGTCGCGTTGATGGATTCGATTGCTTGTATAGAAAGGACACAGAGACTTTGGCACATGGGAAATGTGTGAGTGTGGATGTTATTGACTGCTATGCTGCCTATCTGAATCGGGAGCAAGTGAGAAGAGGGCAACTGAAAAGATGGGTGTTCTATTCAGGGCTGGGGTGAGTTACATTTTCTGCTAGTTCTGTTTTGTTTTAGGGTTTTTGTGGTGTGCATTATAATAGGTCTGGTTTGGTTTAAGGGTTTTGTGTTGTGCATTATAAGACGTCTGGTTTGCTTTAGGGTTTTTGTGGTGTGCATTATAATACTTCTGGTTTGTTTTAGGGTTTTTGTGGTGTGCATTATAATACGTCTGGTTTGTTTTACTGTGTTTATGTTGTGTTCTACCTTGTAGCAAAGAGTGCAGGGGATAGTGAAGAACGAAGGACCACTGCCTAATTTTTTTGAAGAGACTGATGAAATTATTACAAGTTGCAAGTGGATACCAGATGGTTTGGATTTCTCACAATGTGATTATGTATGTATTTTTTTAGTCAGATTTGCTAGATTGTTTCATGTGTGTTTTTTCTTCATTGTGCTTTTGGAGTACTGACTTGTTTTTGTTCTGCATGCAGTGGATGTTCCCCCACTGTTCTGATGACCACTACAGGATGTATGTAGTGAATCTGAAGAACAAACGGTATGATTATCTTGACAGCCTTTACCCTGACGACCTTGATTCCAAGTTTCGTGCTGTTGCGGATATGGTGGTCCGCTATGCCACAGAATACATTCCTGCCTGCAGAGAAGAGCCCTTCAAATTTGAAGAATTCAAGTGGGTTAGACAGCGAGGGGTGAGACAACGTGGTGGGGTTGACTGTGGTGTTTTTACTATGAATTTTGCTGAGTTTTGGGATGGCAAACTGCATCCAGCTATGAGGAATTGGCAAAGACAAATCAATCAGAGGCGGGATGAGATCACATTAACATTGCTGCTGAACAAGGAGAACAGTGTACTTGAAGAGGTGAAGAAGAAGAGTTTGGAGTTTGATCGCAAGGTGGACTAGCTGATTTTAGCATGCATTTGCAAGAACAGTTTCAGATTTCAGTGTGTTAATATGTGTTTTAGTGTGTTAATGGTGTTGATTAAGAGGATTTGTGTTCGTCGTGTATGGTGTGTATTATAAGACAAGTGGTTTGTGTTAATACATAAGTGGTTTGCTTAATGAGTGTTCTGGAAAGTTTCCATATGTTTGTGGTTTGGTTTTGTTAAGAGGTTTCGTAGTTTGTTTTCTTTCCTGTATGGTGTGGTTTGTAGTGTTTATGGTTTGGATTAGGTGGTCTGTGGTGTGGATTGTAGCGTTTTTGGGTTGGTTTAGGTGGTATCTGGGTTGTTTAACCTTGTTCGGTGTGCATTGTGGTGTTTATGGTTTGGATTAGGTGGTCTGTGGTGTGGATTGTGGGGTTTTTGGGTTGGTTTAGGTGGTATCTGTGGTTTGTTTAACCTTGTTCGGTGTGTATTGTGGTGTTTATGGTTTGGATTAGGTGGTCTGTGGTGTGGATTGTGGGGTTTTTGGGTTGGTTTAGGTGGTATCTGGGTTGTATTCAACTGTATCTGTGTTGATCAAATATTATCAAAAACCTGCAACTGTTCATATTTGTCTCATAGTTGTCATTGAAATCTAAAAGTTTATGACAGAAAAAAAACATGGATAACAACAAGGAAACTAATCACTCATTGTTGCTTTTGTAACGCTTGTTGGCGGCCTGTTCATCAATTCTTTGCTTTCTAGCCCTCTCCAGTGCTACCTCAAGTCCACCTCTTGGCCTCTTCTTTGATTTCCATGGGTCTTTTCGAGCCTTGAATCCCTTCACATTGGCATACTTGTCATTTGTAGCTGAAGCAGCAGCGCTTTGTGAGGGTGATGTATTGGTGGTTCCATCTGTTGAAAAAGCAATATGCAAGATACTTGAACATAAGTAGGGATTAAGCAATTAGTGGATTGGATTAAGATGTTTATGGTTTGCATTAGATCATTTGTGGCTTGGATTAAGCAATTACTGGTGAATATAAGTAGGGATGCTAACAAGATGTGTGAAATTACCAGGTACTGTTTGCTGAGTTTCTTGAGTCTGAAGGCTTTGGAAAGCTAGTTTAGTGAGCTCTGCAATCTTCTCCTTAACCATTGAGAAGACCTTGTCATTCATTGAGACTTTTGTTGCTAGGATAACCATGCTAGCACACAGTTCTTGATACCTCCCTGCATAAGTATCTGTTGCAGCACATTCTGTTGTGTTTATTGTGAACTTCTCTCCAGATTTGGCATCTCTCGTCCATCGTGGCAGAATGTATTCCTTAGGGATAGTCAATTGCTCAATATCATCACCATTGAATCCAACCATCTCTATCTGCCTGATTACATGTCTGCACAACCAGCCTGAACTTTCAAACAAACGACATGAGCACTTGTATTTCTTCTCCTCTTTGTTCACTAACACGACTCTTTTGCCGAATCCTCCTAGTTTCTTCACTTCATAAGCTGTCATTCCATCTCTATCCATAGATTCATTCCGGAACACAAAAAAAGCAAGGCTTTCTGAATACTCCTCAAGGAAAGAACTGTAGATCTTAGTTGTGTATAATTTTGCGACTTGCTGAACAAGTGGGCTTCTGTCATACCTGTTGGAAGATGACATACAACATACAATCATTCATAAAACATCTTGTCTACATTAATGATTTTATGGTATGTATTGTACTGTTTGTGGTGTGGATTGTGGTGTTTATGGGTTGTATTAGGTGGTCTGTGGTGTGGATTGTAGGGGTTTTGGGTTGGTTTAGGTGGTATCTGGGTTGTTTAAGCTTTTGCGGTGTGCATTGTGGTGTTTATGGTTTGGATTAGGTTGTCTGTGGTGTGGATTGTAGGGGTTTTGGGTTGGTTTAGGTGGTATCTGGGTTGTATTCAACTGTTCTGTGGATGCATTCTACAGTATAAAAAGTTCAAATAAAGGAAGTAATACGTACATGTTGTTTGGGACTGTGTTTGCCATTTGATAATCCATGTCCATTTCGTCTGATCTTTTCCGTTCGAGCAACTTGTTGAAGTATGTGAAGAACTCAACTAGGTTGTCATCTGGTTGAAGGTAGTTTCGGAGGTTGCTGTTACAAGACTCACTCAGCTGTGAGCTTCGCATACCAGCTGTGAAGTGGTCCTTAATCCATGCTGAAGACCACTGTTTTCTCACCTTGTAAATTGAATCCAACCAGTTCCTTGGATTGGTGCCTTCTTCTGGATAATATGTGTCTAGCAACCTTGACCAATTGTACTCAAATTCTTCCTCATTTTCTACTCCAAAAGTGACATATTGTAGATCTTCTAGAATGTTTGTGTTTGTGGTGTCGAGATGCTTCATTGCATTCTGCTTGATATGAAAAGTACACAAGCCATGGAATGCTTCAGGAATGACGGATCTAATCCCAGCGGCGATTGCAGCAGCTTGGTCGGTGAATATTGATGTTGGTCGGCTGCCTGACATACATTTCAAGAATGCATCGAACAACCACTTGAATGTAGCGGTTGTTTCATCATATAGGAGAGCAGCCCCGAAGATGCAAAGTGCACGATGGTGGTTGAAGCCAACAAACAAAGCTGTAAATTAAAAATAAAAAAAAGAACAACATAGAATTAAACATTGAAACAAACAAAGGCTGTCTTTTTTTATATATATGGTGTGCTTCAGGACGTTTTTAGTATGGTTTAGGAGGTTTGTGGTATGCATTGCGTAATGTTTGGTTTGCATTCAATTTCGAAATATCAAGAAAATTATCTAGTGCAAGGAATCCTTCTTAATGCAAACCACAAACCTTTTAATGCACACCACAAATCTTATAAAACAGACCACAAACCTCACAAAGCAAACCACAACATTTGCGGAAGCAGACCAGAAATCTATTAATGCAAACCACAAACCTCACAAAAGAAACCACAAACCTCACAAAGAAAACCACAAACCTCACAAAGCAAACCACAACATTTGCAAAATCCCACCAGAAACCTCCTAATGCATTATGTAATGTTTGGTATGCATTCAACTTCCAAATCTCAAGAAAATTGACTAGTGCAAGGAATACTGACCTAGTGGACGATAATTCTGGTTTGTCCTGTATGTGGTGTCGAAGCTGATCGTATCTCCGAAGCAACTGTAGTCAAACCGCATTCTTGCATCAGCCCAGAATATACTTGCAATATCTTCGTTACTATCTACCTCAATTTCATAGAAGAATGATGGATTCTTGTAAGCTTCATGGCGAAAATGTGTAAGAAGTATAGTTGCTTCGCCTGGTTTCATTGATTTCTGCCTTGTCCCCGTGATATAGTTCTTCAGATCATGAGGGGTAAAAGGTACATTCTCCCTCCCTCCTGAAGTTGTGGTGAACAACTCATATGATTTCCGTAGTGAAACTCCACAATCTGCATGCACTTTTGCGACCATTGCATGCATTTCTGAGATCCCCTTGTTCGACCTCAAGAGATGTTTGAATTTTGGAGGGAGGAGATCATGGTTGTGTTCTGTTATCCACTTGTCCAGCAGCCATTCATCCTTCTCGATATCATATCTGAATTTGATTATAGCTGGGCAGCCAACTCTAGTTTCTGGTACAGCACGTTGATAAGCCTTCACATCTATTGATCCTTTATTCTTGGGATTTGACTTGCTTGTGGTCTTGTATCCTTCTTTGCTGCAGCAATACCTAGCATATCGTGCTGTTTTGGTTGGCTGTCTTTTTGTAGAACGTTTGACAGCTCCCATGTCCCTCACGCTGAAGCCAAGGTCGTGAGCATAGTTCTTGTAGAATTGTTTTGCTTCCTCAATGGTTTTGAATGCCAACCCCAAACTAGTGTAGTCTGACTCGGACCTGTTTGATGTCACACCTGTAAGCAATGATGAAAGAAATGAGCACTTGATCATTTCATCTTGCGATAATTTTTGCTAGAAAAGTGTAAAGTGGTTTGGGTTGTAGTTATTCATGATGCTTTTATGACATTTATGGTTTGCATTACAGTGTATGATTTTTTTTACAAACAGATTGGGGAATGTAACGATTAACGTTTTAATGGTGTGTATTGAAGGTGTTTTGGTGCGTTTAAGAAGTATTGTGGTTTGTTTTGGGAAGAATGTGGTGTGTTTGGCGATGCTTTTGGTATCGTTTGTGGGATTTTTGTGGGCGGTTTAATGATTTCATCTTGCAATGATATTTGCTAGAAAAGTGAAAAGTGGTTTGCATTGTAGTTATTCATGAATCTTTTATAACATTTATGGTTTGCATTACAATGTGCTTTTTTTACAAACAGATTGCAGAATGTAACGATTTAGGTTTTAATGGTGTGCATTGGAGGTGTTTTGGTGCGTTTAAGAAGTATTGTGGTTTGTTTCTAAAGTGTTTTGGTTGATAGTCTCTTTTTTTCCTGTGGTTTGTTTTGGGACGAATGTGGTGTGTTTGGCGATGCTTTTGGTATCGTTTGTGGGATTTTTGTGGGCGGTTTGATTGGTAGTGCTTATGATATGGTAAATGGCTTGTATAAGCGTGATTGTGGTGCTCATTGTAAGAAAACAGGAAGGATTGAGTTGAGCGTACCTTCTTCTTGTTCATTGTTGCCACTGTTAGTGGAAATAGAGGTTTCCAGCTGATATCCAACTTCTGTTGCATTTTCAGAAGATGTTGCAATTTGCAGGAGTTGTTGAGCATCTACAGAACCAACAGAAACTTCATCTACACGATTCTCGTCCATCGTCAATGTCTTAGCTGCGATCAGGAGCTTGCTCAGCCGTCGCCGCCGTTGCTGTAGCTGCTGCGATCAGATCTCGTCGCCGTTGCGTTGCCGCCGTTGCTGTAGCTGCTGCGATCAGATCTCGTCGCCGTTGCTGTAGCTGCTGCGATCAGATCTCGTCGCCGCCGTTGCTGTAGCTGCTGCGATCAGGATCTCGTCGCCGCCGTTGCTGTAGCTGCTGCGATCAGGCTCTCGTCGCCGCCGTTGCTGTAGCTGCTGCGATCAAGCTCTCGTCGCCGCCGTTGCGTCGCCGCCGTTGCAGTAGTTGCGTTGCTCCGATGAGGATTCGTCGCCCTCGTTCAGCCTCGGCGCCGCGCGATTGGACAGAGAGAGAAACGGAGAGAGAAACGAGCTGGAAATTTTCGGACAAAAGGAGCTGGAAATTTTCGGAAAAGGAGCTGCCAATTTTTGGTAGGACAAAAATGCCCTTCCTTTGTATTTTACCCTAGTCAACGCATGAATTTCAAAAGTATGCAGAATGGTGGGTTCCTATTGGTCCACCTATGTTGTTGTTACTATAACAACAAATATGGTGTTGTCACCATATCCGCTCCCCCATCATAGAGCATCCATCAGCAGTCTCAGTCGTACCCTGAGAGAGAGAAGAAGTATGCGAGAAAAGACAGTCAGAGAGAGACGCGTTTCTCTAACCAGATCCGCGGGCAACACGCCCAGCTTCGCACAACAACATGCATAAGATCCGGTCCAAGGGGAAAAATCGGGCAAAAACCGCCGGCCCAACCCCAGCACTATGAAAAAAACAGACTGGCCCACGCACAGGAAGAAAACCAATCAAAGAGCAGCAAACAGTAAATTTCGGTCTAAATGAATAATAATCTGAGTCTATGTGTAGTAGCCTAGTAGGTGAAGTGTCTTTGAAAATAATTCTGTTTAATGGTGGTAAGAAAGCAGAGAGAGAATCGGGGTGAGATATTATGCTTTGGGTAGGTAAAATGAGTGGCCAAATAAAAAGGAGACGTGGCTCCTTGCCAGCCAAACAAAACATAAAAATTTCTCCTTTAATAAAGAACCAACAATCCCTTCTTGCCTAAAACAACGCAAAAATATTCAGTCTCTCTCGGGAGAGAGCCTCCCACTTGAGGCCGGCGCGAATTCCGTGGCAGAGGGAAGGAGCAAGAGAGAGATGTCAGGAAGCATCTGCAAAACCATCACAGTGCAACAACCATTCACAGGGTCATGAATAGTAAGACTGTCATGGTGAACAGATAAAAAGCGACGGGACAGAAGTGGGGACAGAAGAGAAGAAAGGCAGAGGGAGGAGGAAAGTAGCGGAAAGTAGCATGCATCCGCGATCAACGCGATTTCCATCGCAAGCAACCCGCCGCCAGAGGGAGGCTCACAAGTGAAATCCACCATTGATAGAGCAGCAGCCCACCGGTCCGTGAGAAAGAGAGAGGAGATGAACTGGGGCCCACAACAGGTCCACCATTGATAGAGAGCAACAGCCCACCAGTCCGTGAGAAAGAGAGAGGAGATGCACCGGGGCCCACGACAGGCAACAACCAATCAGAATCCAATGAACAGAGTAACTGAGTCCAAATGGATAGTAGGATGTGTCTTGGTGTACAGGGATTGGGCGTTTGTGGGATTAACTTTTCTTAATATGGGTTGCCAAAATTTCCTCCCTCCTAACATGATAATCTGACAATCTTCTCCCACCCAACGTACCATCTTTTTGCCTCGCTCTTAATTTGCGTCTAGCAAATTCTTGCTTATGGAAAAGTTTTCCTCGCTGTCTAACACGTCTCCCATCTCGTTTTTCAACAAACATATTTGGGTTAAACTAGGGGTGTTCAAAAGGTTTGGTTATCATGGTAACCATTTTAACCGGTACTATTTGGATAATTTGGTTTGGTTAATTTGGATAATTGGTTTGGTTTGGTTAAAGTTTTTAGCTTGTTTGGTTTAGGTGGTTTGGTTTGGTTTCAGACACTCTTAACCAGTTAAGTAATTAGTCATATATCTAACATATATTATATACACAAACTTAATACTTTACATAACCACTCAATAGTTAATGTTCATCCCTTTTAGACTCATAAAATATAAAGCTCAATGTTGCTCATATAGTGTATATTTGTATATGTAAAGTGTAGACCACAACATATGGACGCCTAATTTAGATAAATTTCATACATTATGATGGATGAAAACTTGAAAGAAAAGTCATTTCCAGCCTATGATAATTGCTAAGAGACTAAGTAAATTTACACAAACACAACAATCCATTAACCCATACCATTGTCATAAATTTTTGTTAGGTGAATACTTCTATACTAATCGTAAGATAATTATCTTAGTTGCATGTATTTTTGTTAAGGGTCAACTAAACTACGTGTTGATTGTTATGTTTTATTCATTATATAAATTGTGAATTGTTGCATTAACCGGAAAATTTTCATCGTCAATGATAATGTGATTTTATATTGGTTAATCTGGTTAACAAATTAACCAAACCGATTAAACTTTAGTTTGGTTAATTTGGTTGTTGTATTAGTTTGGACGGTTTGGTTATGATATTGTATTCCATGGTTTCATTTGAACACCCCTAGGTTAAACTGTCCTTCGTTTTCACTCGTCTTTCTAGGGCCCTTATCACGAGAAATTTTACAATGCTATATAGTATTGGTGCTATAGGGTTTTGCCTTTATGGTACAACTTAAAATTGTACATTTACGTTATGGTACAACTTTATATTGTACATATACTTTTTGTACAAATTCTTTTATGGTACAAGTTGAACTTGTACCTTTATGTGATGGTACAACTTCAAGTTGTAAAGTTGTACCATAACATAATGATACAAATTGCTTTATGGTACAACCTAAACTTATACATTTAATATTATGGTACAACTTTAAGTTGTACATTAAAGCACCAATACTATATAGTATAGTAGAAGTGCTCCCCTTATCACCTTATTAATCCCATATTTCATTATTTCTTTTTATGTGACGTACCTTGCTCGTACTAATTACCGGAGTATTATGGAAAAACAAAACAGTTGAAATGGGCTTTTAATGGGCCACATCTTAAGACCTAATTATATTGGGCATTTAGATAGTAGTAACAGCCCATATTTAATTCACAGGCCGCATTTCGAATGTTTACTTTTGTGGTTTTGCCCCTCCCTCATTTTGACTTCCCGCTCTTAGTTTGCCCCAAATTCCAAAATAAGTCCCTCCACGTCATCCATCCGTGCCGATCTTCCGAGGTTATGCCACAGCCGTCGATAATGTACCATCGATCCCATTCTTAACCCAATCGTCACCGTAGAGAACATAGAGCACCCCTGCTCGAGTCTCTCCTCTTCATTCCAATAAATTCCCCCTCTTTCTATGGCAATCCTCACCGAAATCAAATTCTCTCACTCAGTATTCTGTAATCCATCAAGTTCCATAATCTTCAAACCCTAGCGCTTCTCTCTCTCTCTCTCTCTCTCTCTCTCTCAAATGGCCCGCACCAAGCAAACCGCTCGCAAGTCCACCGGCGGCAAGGCGCCGAGGAAGCAGCTGGCGACCAAGGCCGCAAGGAAGTCCGCTCCGGCGACCGGCGGAGTGAAGAAGCCCCACAGGTTCAGGCCCGGAACCGTCGCCCTCCGCGAGATCCGAAAGTACCAGAAGAGCACAGAGCTCTTGATCCGCAAGCTGCCCTTCCAGCGCCTGGTTCGCGAAATTGCACAGGACTTCAAAACCGACCTCAGGTTCCAGAGCTCTGCCGTTTCGGCTCTCCAGGAAGCCGCCGAGGCCTACCTTGTGGGTCTCTTCGAGGACACCAATCTCTGCGCCATTCACGCCAAGAGGGTCACTATCATGCCCAAGGACATTCAGCTCGCCAGACGCATCAGGGGCGAGCGCGCTTAAATCTTGAATCTGTTTTCGTATATTAATTTCACTAGTTTAGACTCTCGTTTGCTGATTATCGTGTGTAACTGTGCCAGTACAATGTAGTAGTGACTTTTCTGGGTCGTTGATCTAATGGGAAAAGCTTGTTTACTGCTCAATCGTCTGAATGCAATTGCAATTTCCTTCTGGGTCTGATTTTTCATAGCTAAGATTTGGATTAGGGTTTCGACTCAGTCCAACTTTTGAGACAGAGTGTTGGCCACTTTCGTTGTGGGTTTCCTATTAGACTTTTGCGGTTACATGGTTAGTCAGCAGCGACTGACTTCCCTAATCTAATAGAATTCGTTTCAACGAAACAAAATAATACCCTACTAATTTATTGTGAGAAAATGACTAATTTGTTTGCAATGGCTGGTGGCCCTAAATTGGGTGTCAATTGTGGAACCCATCACTCAATTGCATTTTGTGACCATGACGATAATGCTTACTGATATAAAAGAGAGGCCTTTAGTTGCTTCTGCTTGATAACTTAACGCTTCTGTCTACTTTCCTCTTTCTCCAGAGTCCAGACCCTGTTTTCTAACTACTCTGTTTTTCCATTCCATTTCCCCCCTGATTTCCTGAATCATGGATCCGGGTGAGAGCCAGAGATCGGCAACTGAGTTGTTTGAAGCGCAGGCTCACATCTACAACCACATCTTCAACTTCATCAACTCGATGGCGCTGAAGTGCGCCGACGAGCTTGGAATCGCAGATGCAATCTTCCGCCACGGCAAACCCATCACCCTCCCCCAACTCGTTCCCGCGCTCAACATCCAGCCAGCCAAAACTGCCCACCTGTACCGGCTAATGCGCGTTCTCGTCCACTCTGGCTTCTTCGAAGCAGTGGTAGAAGACCAAGAAGAAGCTTACGCGTTAACACCGTCTTCGAAATTGCTGGTGAAAGCCGACGCAAATTGCTTGTCTGCCTTCGTGAAGGCTCTGCTCCAGCCCGATTTCGTAACTCCGTGCCACGTGCTGGGAGATTGGATTAAGGATGGTGGTGGAGACGAGAGGAAGAAGGAGCCTGCTTCTTCTCCATCTTCCACGCCGTTTGAGAAAGCACACGGGATGGCGTTTTGGCAGTACAACGATCGAAACCCTGAGTTTAATGCGATATTCAATGAAGCCATGGCCTGCGATTCCCAGATGGTGAATTTGGTTATTGGCAATTGTGGGAAGGTTTTCGATGGAATTGATTCTCTGGTGGATGTTGGTGGCGGGACGGGGACGTTTGCTAGGATTATAGCCGAGGCGTTTCCTGGGATCAAATGTAAGGTTCTGGAGCTTCCCCAAGTTGTTGGTCACTTGGCTGGTACTTCTGGGAGCGTGGAGTTTGTTCCAGGGGATATGTTTCAGCATGTCCCTTCCGCAGATGCCGTCTTGCTCAAGGTATGTGCTTTAGATCATCCTCCCATTCGTCATTGGTTAGATGATCCTCTTACAATCGTGCTTAACAGCTATAGAATAGGATTGTGAAAACACTAATTAGATTCCATGTCTTTGTGTTGCTCATTTGGTTGGGATTTGGTGTCGCTACAGTTGATTATGCACGGATGGAAGAATGAAGAGTGTGTGAAGATCCTGAAGAAATGCAGAGAAGCGATTTCGTGCAAAGGGGAAGGAGGGAAGGTGATGATCATCGACATAGTGATAAACCAGAAGAAGGATGAACATGAATTGACTGAAACAAAATTGTTGTTTGATATGCTGATGATGCTGGTGGTTAATGGGATGGAGAGGAGTGAGAAGGAATGGGAGAGACTGTTCTTGGAAGCTGGTTTCAAGCACTACAAGATCACTCCTTTGTTTGGGTTGAGGTCTCTGATTGAGGTTTTTCCTTAGTAGAGAAGGACATGACGTGAATGAAACCCTATTGCTATTGTTATTCTTATGAGTCATGTAATCGGTAAATGATGAAATAAAGTCTGCTTCATGCATTCCTAGACAGTAGTACTAGGATCTGAGCCTGTGGGGTTGGCAGCTTATAGAACAAATAGCCATTGGTGATCATAGCTTGACTAACAATACTAGTTTGAAATCCCATTGCCGCTTAATATGAAGAATCTACTTTGTGAGAGTACAAACTAGAACAGGATCTCACTGGCACTCGTACGCCAGAAAGCATACTACTTTTGAGGGTATTGATTAGACTCTACCTTGAATCAACTTCTAAACCAATTCAGGTGAACCGGGAAGTTCAGCAAATGAAAGTCTACATGTTCATCGGTTGAAATTTTTTAATCACATCCAAATTTGCTTAGGGTGAGATGGGAAGTTCAGCCCTACAAATGAAAGTCTAGTTTATTTGTTTCATCAGCCACACAGATTGTTAGGTTCTCTCACTTGCACTGCAACGGATCCAATCCTCTGGCCGTGGCATTGTCGAGCAACTATTGCACATATGATCTCCGTCCTCCAATCAACATCGTGGAACAATGTCGCGTTCATGCCTCGACGGTTGAATTCACCTTGCGGATTGAGTGTTGTCAAGCTGAGATGAATACATTACCAATGGACTAGATTCTAATTATTAATATCATTGTTCCGCTTCGGTAATGTAACCGAGTTTCCCTGCTCTGGGTGGTAAAAAGGAATCTTAATTGTAAAAATGTTTTTTTTTTTTTTTTGACTCCTTTAGATGGTGAAATGTTACAAGTGGTTGATTGCCCTTACTTTGCTTCATTTTGATTATTATTTTGTTTCTTTTCCCCTAAGTTAGAGGATAAAGGTTGTCATTTTAAAATAGGATACTGATAAATTAGTCTCGAAAGGTAGTGACATATAAATGTCATATTTAAAAACCAACTTATTCTTGGATGTTTTTGAAATATGATTATACCATGTTCCATCATCACAAAAATTTATCCAATCGATAATATTTTGCTCCAGTTGCCCAATAGATTGATTTGAGCCTAAAATCAACTATCAAACTCAATCACTCCACCTTTAGCTTTGAATCATCGTCCAAAGCGGTTAAGGACTTAAGGTGGTTAGGTGGAAATGGGGAAGTCTAGCTAGCTCTAATGGAAGTCTGATTTAGATGTTCATCCGTTGACTCAAAGAAGAAATGATCAAGGTCTTCGGTAGTCAAGTTGTGCCGGTGGTGGCAAATCAACCCCCACATTTCTACCTGAAGAAATCTGGTTCTGGTCTCCGGGAGATGAGGCAGCAAGAAAAAAAAAGAAGGTAACAGAACAAGACTTGGAAAACAACAGTCGTCTTACTTCTCCTGTTTCCTGGAAGGCACAAACCCTTGTCTGTTTCTTGCTTTCCACGTTACCTGCTTCTGTGGATACGTTGAGGAGGTACAGGCAGTGGTTGGTAATGGGGTTAGTAAAGTCGGACGGTGGGCTCTGCTCGCCTACCATTTTCCCCTCTTTGTCAATACACTTTCGGACTTTCCGTATTTTAAACTCCTAAGGTCCATAAATAAATCAAATAATGATGTATATAGTACTTTGTGGCTTGTGGAGTAGAGAGCTCTCCCCAAATTTTCAGTGACAAAGAGACATTTTTTTGTCTGCCGTATCTAGTGGAATAAGTTTTCTGATGACTTGCATAAAGTTAAGTGTTTCTAAAGCTTCGGACGGGTGGTTCAATCGTAAAATTTTCTTATAGGAAACTAGATCGATATATGTTTTTTAGCGGTATGAAACAGTGAAATCACAATTTTAGTACAAAATACTTTTTTTATTTTATTTTTGCAATACAACCTCCGATACGATTTCACAATTCGACTGTTGTTCCTTAATATAGATCATCATAATAACTTTCTCACTTTAGGTGGGGAAGGATTCCATTCAGCTTAACCAATTACTTCCAAGTGTATAAAAAGACCACTAGTGCATGCTTAAATTAACGTCGAATTTTAATGACGATGAAGACTCAAATATAAGAAATTTTGAGTATTAATTAAACACTAAAAATGATGTAATGCAGCTCTCTGGGTTTGCAGTCACCAAGGTCAAGCTTGGAGGCTTGGACTACTGCTGAGGAGAATCAAGGCGTAATACTTAGAGTTGGAGACCATTCGATTTCGCCATTTTGGGGATTGTCATAGTCGATCTTCTTTCTCAAAAGGTACATTGTACGCTCCAAAATAACATTCTAGCTTACGTTTTATATTTTTCTCATTTAACTTTAGCGTTGAAAGAAAAATTTAATCTAAACAATAACTTATCTAGCTCACTCCGCACACAAGATCAAAACCGCACGATCGAGTCCTTCAACCAATCCTTCCTAAAATGGAAACCCTACAAGAACATGGATCACAAATAATTTGATTTCAGTAACTTTTATGTTTAGTTAATTTGGTATATTGAAAGGAAAACTTCTTCCAAATAAATAAAGTTTGTTGATAATAACAAGATTTACCAGAAATTTTATTTTAAGGTCTCTCCTAACAAATAGAAGTGTTATATAATTATTAATACGATAACTTACATTCAAAATAGCATAATTTCTAATAACATATAGAAATTCAGCATTTCCCCAACCATGTAGACGGCTTCAACCTGAAAAAGTCGGAACTTTTCCATTCCACCTCTTTGAATTCATGAGTCAAGAGGCACTTCTCCTATTTCTTGAACCGTGCGGCCAAAAACTTCCCTCGGTCGAAAACCAGAAAACTTTCCTCAGTCAAGTACTCCACATTGAATTCTCATCAAAGGCAAAAACCATTTTGTAGACAGGGGAAGCTTCCTCAGTCAGCCACTCCACAGCATAACATCCATTTGATCTCTGTCTATATATGCAAACACAAATCCCAAAATTTCTTCAACCCAAAACAAGCCCCTAAAATCACACCAGCTACCACCTCGCAGCAGAAGACAATGAACCCAAATGATCAAGCCAACGAAGTCACCGAGCTCTTCCAAGCTCAAACCCACATCTACAAACACATGTACAACTTCATCGAATCCATGGCCCTCAAATCCGCCCTCCAGCTCACCATCCCCGACATAATCCACAACCACAACAAACCCATCAGCCTCATCGACCTAGCATCCGCCCTCAACGTCCCACCAGCAAACACCAACCCCTTGGAGCGGCTCATGCGAATCCTAGTCCAATCAGGATTCTTCGCCGTCGAGCAAGAAGGCTACACCCTCACCCCTTCTTCCAGAATCCTGCTCGATTCCAGCCCCACCACTCTGTCCCCAACCGTCCTCGCGATTCTCGACCCTCTGCTCGTAACCCCGTGGTTCTCCCTCGCCGATTGGCTCAAGAGCGAGGATGCAACCGTGTTCGAAACCCACTTTGGGATGAACGTCTGGGACTATGGCAAGAAGAAGGAAGGGTTTGTGGGGCTGCTGAATGATGCAATGGCTAGCGATTCGCGGTTGGTGAGCTTGGTTGTGGAAGAACACAAGGAGGTTTTTGATGGGTTGGCTTCTTTGGTGGATGTTGGTGGTGGCACGGGGACTTTGGCTCGAGTTGTTTCTGAGAAGTTTCCGTCTATGGATTGTACGGTTTTGGACCTGCCGCAAGTTGTGGCAGAGTTGGGAGGAAGCAAGAACTTGAAGTTCGTTGGTGGTGACATGTTTCAGTCCATCCCTTCTGCAGATGCAGTATTAATCAAGGTAAAAATCGATGTATCTTGGGAAGAAATTCAATGGGATGCTCCTTACCTTGCTAACCCTATGAATTACTGTTTGGCAGTCTGTTCTGCACAACTGGAGCGATGAGAAATGTGTGAAGATACTGAAACGATGCAAAGAGGCGATTCCGAAGAAGGCAGGGAAGCTGATTCTCATAGAAATGGTGATCGATGTAGGGAAAGAGGGAGGTAAATTGGGCAAGACTAGGCTGTTTGTGGACATGGAAATGATGATGTTATGCGGTGGAAGGGAAAGAACAGAGAAGGAATGGGAGCACCTGTTCTTGGAATCTGGTTTCAGCTGCTACAAGATCATCCCAACAACTGGGCTGAATTCAATCATTGAAGTTTATCCCTAGATCAGTGTTGAAATTTTTGCTATGGTGAATGAAGGTGTTTGGTTTTTACTTATGTATGGCTGGTTGCCTGATAGTGAAACAAAATGATACATGATCAATCAAATAAAATATTAGTGTAGTCCACCCTTGTTCATATTTAATTTTGCAGATAATTTTTCTAGACCAATGAAGACATATGAGTTTTGCTATTTTTATTAGTGTCTACAATGAATTTAGACAAATACATTTGTTATAGATCGATAATAAACTTCGTACTTTCTAAAGAACTCTTAAAATCTGAAAAAAGAATCCAACAAGACATGATTTAGTCACTAGGATTCAAGATTCTCAATTGTAACGTCAGGTTGTCAAATTGATATGGGTTTGGTAACCTGTGGTCCAGAACAAATAAGGAGACAAGATTAACTTATCATGACGAAAAGGGCATCTATTTAAAGGAGCAATGAAAGTTGCAGGCTTTACCTAACTGTGTCACTTAAAGTGATTAGGAGCCAAGAGCAGGTAAGTGATGTGATGGCTTACTTAAGTGGCTTCCTTTTCCGGCAAACGAAACCGCGGGGAAATACAAAGCCAATTGCAAGTTTGCTACATGACGCACGTCCAATTCATCAAAATTCGGATGCTAGATTGTACGAAGTTTGAAAATTGCGCAGTCGCCAAAATCCACAAAAATGATCCCGTGGCTATTGGTGATTGATGTATTAGCGACACCGACACCACCATGTGTTTCACTTTTCTGATTGCTTTCGCGGCGTGCTTCAGCAGCGTCTGTCACGGCTTCTCTCTTGGCGCATGGTTTGTCGTCAGGTTTACAGATTGCAGTGGGAGTGTGGAACAGGTGTGGGTTGAATTCATTTCTCATTGAGAACTCGATGCAGGATGGTGTTTGGCACATTTGTCCCAATTATGACGAGTTATGGATACACGGGAGTAATACATGTGTGATATGTCTAACTCTATGGATTTCTTCGACGTCGCTCTGTGGATTTCTATGCTCAATCTCTCATATGGAGATGATTGCTTTCCTCTCTCTGATTTGATTTTTCAGATATGGAGTGTTTTTGCTTGTGGTGGCAAAGGATGACTAATTTTGATTGATTGGCTTGTCTTCTCGACTTCTCACCTCTCTCTTGTATACTTACTTGTTTCGCCTAGTTGATTTCGACGTTTCGAAGATGCTAGTAGCCTTCCCATGCGAATCGGCTTTGACGCGGTTGGGAGATCACAAGACAAAGACTCGATCAATGTGTTTCATTATCGGGCGCTTATCATTCTAAAGTTCAGTCTCTTGCATGGTATTTTTCAAGGGTTTCTGAAGACGCTTTGGTCCAGTGAGAACAGGTTTGGTGATGATTTATGGTTCTCCTATGCTTGTTTTGTTCCAATCTTCATCTGCGTTGGTTTGATCTATCAATCCGACATTTAGGCATTCATCTGGATTGAGTTTTTTCTCGATTTTGTGTTGTGTTAGTGGTCGGATTTATGGTGGTGATTCCACCGACAACGGCTGTGCAAATATAGCTGCAAATCGGCTATGGTTGTGGGGGTTCTCTGTATGGGCTTATTGTAGGTGTAGTGGTGATTTCATCTCTTAAGAACCTAAATATACCACTTAAGCAATCCCATTGGACGGGTCTCCATTCTCCAATTGCAGAAGGAACAAACAACCCTAAAAACTATGTTCCTAAGCACTGGAGTTCCACTTCCACAAGGACTACCTTGACCTGTTCTTGGTACCAAATGGCCTTCTCATTATGTTCACTTACCATCTCTACCTTCTCCTACAGACACTACACTTGCCCTTGCTCCACAAGCATCGGCCTCGAAGCATTCGACAAAACTGATTGGGTTCGTACCATCGTCCAGGTCAGTCAACAATCTCCCTAAATTCCTCTCGTACTTCTAAAGACTCAAATCACTTACCTTAGTCTTTAGCTTTGCTAATCTTTTTTCTTTCACATGCAGAATGGCGATAAGGGCACCTTAGACTGAGCAACATCCGTGATCACAACCAACACGACATCAGGAGCTTACCTCGCCACTTTCAGGCTTCAGCTTGACCATGAGCTCTCTAAATATGCACGTTTCTCCGTTCAGCCAGTAACTTCATCAAGAGAAACAGAGTTTATGGAGACACGGGGCCCTTTATTGTGTTCATCAAGAATGTCGGGCTGCTCTCTTGCTTGCTCCTTGCCTTCTCGCCTCTCGGGATTTGTTCATGCTGTAAAGCTTCTGGTTCACGCCAACTACCTGTTGTCGATGAGTACCCCGGGGAACAAGAACTTGGAGAGGAAGATTGAGCTCATGATTACAAGAGGTGGACACTCTTGGAACCTTGGACTTAGAGCTCTTTATTTTGCTGTCACCATGCTCCCATACCCATGTTTGCTTCCTGTGTTTTCATGGTGGTCATCTTGTACTATCATGAATCATGATAATGAAAGCAGAGCCAAGAGGAAGCTTCAGTTATTGAGTTCTGTCTATAAAATTAAATTTAAAGATTGTTGAGAGAAGTAGCGAATGAAAGGATATGTGCTTGTATTTGCGGAGATGAAGCCATGCATGCCAGTTGAGTTCCTCGGAAGCAAATCCCTTGACAGGTAATAGGACGTTTAGGTGACAAATGACTACCATTCTTGCAAGTTGCAACTATCTTAAAGTCCCTGTAGAGCTGTGATTCAATATATTGTGCAACCTTTTATTTCCTTTTTTGGCGCTAAGTCAGTTGCTTGATTGACTTGCTATACAAATTCCACGTTCTGGGAATGGGATATGCTTGAAGAGGCTTTGCTTCCCCAACAAGACATTGATTCAAGCAATGTAGTGCCTTCTTCCATCTAATTTAATTATGAGTGGGCAAGTGGTTGGTTCAGTTTAACCCACACAAAACTGCACATGCACTTTCATCTTGCAACATTGACTGCATTCACAAACGTGAATCGCTATTTGCCGCCCGCGTATTTACTATTTGCCGCCCATAATTTTATGAAAAGTCTATTTTGCCCTTCAACACTTTAAAAACCTAATTGAATTGCCTATCCCCGCCGCCGTCAGAACCGCTGGCCGGCTTTTGCAGCCGCCGTGGAGAAACAAAATACCCACCCTCAAAATTATAATAGCATACTTCAACTTCCTCATTTTTGTTCCTTTCTTTTTTTCCCCACAATTCTGGGCAACGATTTGCCTTCCAAATTTTTATTATGCGATGATCCCTCCACCATCTTCATCCACTTTCCGTGCCTCTCGAGGAAGGGGCTCGCCGCGGTCTTGTCGTCGTCGCCGTCGAGGAAGCAGCTTGCCGCTAAACCTTCTTTTTTTTTTTTTTTTTGCGTCCGCTCGCCGGCGTCGGACGGGGTCCGACCACCGGACGCGGACATGGTCCGAATTTTGGCGGCGGACAGGGTCCGAGACTCGGCGGCGGACGGGGTCCGAGACCCGGCGGCGGACGGGGTCCGAGACCCGGCGGCGGACGGGGTCCGAGACCCGGCGGCGGACGGGGTCCGAGACCCGACGGCGGACGGTTACTTTTTTTTTATCAAAAAACGTTTTTGAATTATTAATTTAGTAATTAAATAAATATAAAATACCATAATTAAGATTTAAATAATTATGTTGTTTTAAGTAATTATAAATCCGATAATTAAGCAAATTAAAGAGAGTTTTTTAAGGCAAGTTTTCGGAAGAGGAAATTTGAGTAACAAATTTTCGGAAGGAAATTTCTGTAATTAACAATATGTAATTGTATTTCCTATTTAACAACCCAACCCAACGTAATTTATTCCCAATACATTTAATGATTGCATTTAATGATTATTTTTCAAATAAATAAGAACCCGAATGTTTAGTTAGATTAAAGGTTAATAATTGTATTATTATATTAAATATATATAATCACGGTTGAACAAATCTAACCCAAGTTTACCAATAATTATATGATGTTATCTCTAATTAACAACCTCGAATTTGTAGGGATTTACTTTTTTGCCCGGGACACTATTTATAATTAGTTAGATTAACGGTGGAATACAATTTATTAATATATTATTTTTTAACATAATTATCAAACACGTATGGAATTAGGGGAAACATAATCATCACGTCTAAGCCATAATACATAATATTTTTTTTATTAATTATTTCCTTCTTTGATTGCTATAAACGGAATTAAGGGAAACATAATTTAATAAATAATTACCTGTTTTAATAGTAGTTGAGTTTAATTTAATCACTTAAACTATTTTTTTTTTATTTTTTTTGCGTAAAATAAGTTTAGTGAATAAACGTGGTGAGGCATGAATTAGCTTTAATTAATATTTAATCTAATCGGAACAACAATAACAGTAATAAAAGATGAAATCATACGTTCTCCCTCTACGCATTCTACCTCTCTCAACCCTAAACCCTAATTCCCACAAAATAACTAACTTCAACCTCAAAACATCTAATCCTACTACGACATTGTATTAGAGGTAAAATCGTTTCTACTTCCACTAACAATATTTGTTTGCATCATTGAAATACGCATTATAGGCTCAAGAAACACCTTTTTATTATTCACAGAGCCCACAAAAATCTCGATGAAAATTTTGGTACTATTCATATTTTTTTGTCCGGGACGTCCAATCGAAAAATGATCTATTCCACCATGTTCGTATCCACATTTTAGAGCATCGACAAGGTTTCAATAATTTTTATTTACTGACCATAAAAAAAAATTTATTTACGGATTTGGATGTTTTTGTAGTGATTTAGATAGAGATCAAATAATTAACTTATTCCCTCCAATTGCATAACCTAACGTCTAATTGCCTAATTAACTTGTTTACCTCTTCTGATTGCTAGTTGGTAATTGAGTATCGCGAAAGGAAATTTTATTTTAATTAAGGTAAGTTTAGGGTTTTCTTAATTTCCTTGTTTGTCTCCAATAGGTGAATTTAATCATTTTAAATAAACCTTTAAATAATTATAAAATATCACGTCCAAGATAATTATTTTAGGTTATTACTAATTTCTATTTTTGTGTCCGTTAGTAAAGTATAATCACTTTAGGTAACTCTTTTTTTTTTTGGTTAATTAGGAAAATAATCATTAAATGTGATTTATTGGGGAGGATATTTCATAAATCTAACCTTAAAAATTTTACCATAAAACAAACTTTATTTTTCGCAAAAAAAAAAAGAGATAAAAACACTGGCGGCCTGTCCGACGCCGCCGATCGGACGTGGTCCGACGCCGCCGATCGGGCGTGGTCCGACGCCGCCGATCGGACGTAGTCCGAACTCCGTCGTCGGACCGTTGATCTCCGTCAGACGACGCCGGGAAGATGATGATGATGCCGAGAATAAGGCGCGCGAGCTTCGATCCATGGGACGACGGGAAGATGATGATGATGCCGACAAGGTAGGTTTAACGAGATTGTTAACTTCCCCCCTTTATTGTTAAAGGCCGACGATGAAGGGAGGACGCCGCCGATGAAAACGGCCGGAACTATGTCGGAGGTCAGAGGGAGGAAAGCAATCGAACGTGAGATTTGATTGGGGTGGGTGACAAATATGAAGGATGGCAAAAATGTCATTTACTTTAAAATTGTGGACGGCAATTAGTAATTCTACGGGCGGTAAATAACAATCCTCCCTCAAATCGAACCACAATTTGTTAATTTCCTCAAATACGTTATGACCAGAAAATCACAATGAAATCTCAGGTCCCGCTGAAATTAGCTAAGGAATGGAATGATTCACCAGAAGGGAATCACACATCTAATTCAGCTCACCGCTCACGGGTCACGGCCAAGATAGCTGAAGTAGGGATAGTGGCTTTCTGAAACTTGCACTTGAAAATGGGTCTGCTGAACACGTGAAACGCAATAGGATCAAACAAGCCCTAGATGGGTTGCGTTCTAATTTCTAAGAAATGGTTGCGTGGGAAACAAGCATAAGCAAAGCAGTTCCAACATTTCAGTTTCTTAACACGCCACCCTTTTCCATCCATCATCATCTTCAAACAACAGGCTGCCTCAGAACTGTTTTTAGCTCCTGAAAGCGATTTAGGGTAACCCTGCCTGTGAAACTGCAGCAGGGGAAACGGCTTGTGCCCAAAATTACAGAGCAGCAGTGACTGGTTTATGGCTCTTGCTTTCAATGCATTGCTTATTGATCATCCAAACGGCCAAATTGATCATCCATGTGATAGGAAATTGAAAAGAAAGATTCAAGTTGTGTATTGCAGTCCCATTGAAGCAAGGAAAAGAAATACATACTCCTACATTAAACAATTCCAAGTCAAGCTAATCCTAATTTCCGGTAGGAGTTTACTCCTCACACTCAAAATCAAAGATATAAGCAAAACTCACCTCAATCCAATTGGCTCGACGAAGGGAGGCAGAAGAAGGAAGGCCTGAGATGGATTTCCACAAGGAAGAGCTGGATTTACTACTCGTCCCTCTTGCGTTGGCTATCTTATTCAGCTACAACCTCTTCCTTCTCTACAGATACCTCAATCACCCTCACAGCACCGCTATCGGCTTCCAGAACAATGACAAGAGAGCTTGGGTCGAGAGAATCATGCAGGTAATCAAACAAAATTCCTTCTTTCATGAATCCCCTTTCCCCGAACCCAATTTCCCATTCACCCACCAATTCAATTTCACAGGGCGACAAGGACGATGTTGCCATCGCTCTCTCAGTAATTTCATCGAACACCTCGGCTGCAACTGTCCTGGCTTCAATCTCCCTAACCCTCAGCTCTCTGATTGGCGCCTGGCTCGGTGGGAACTCCCCCAACGTCTTCCAGAGCGAGCTGATATACGGCGACACAAGAGCCTGCACGCTATCGATCAAATACATTAGCCTGATGCTCTGCTTCCTCCTCGCCTTCTCTTGCTTCGTTTCCTCGGCGACGCATTTCGTCCACGCCAACTACCTCATTAGCATCCCCAGCAGCGACGTCCCCGTGAAGAGCGTGGAGACGACGGTGATACGCGCCGGCGATTTTTGGTGCCTGGGACTCCGAGCTTTGTACTTCGCGCTGAATCTGTTGATGTGGTTCTTTGGGCCGGTGCCCATGTTCGTTTCGGCCGTGATCACGGTGGCTATTCTCTGCTCCGCCGACGTCAATTCCAAGCCGCTGCATCAACACTTGCCGGCGCCCCCAAGGGCCCAGATGACGAAAAGGGTTGTTCAGCCCAAAAGCCCGGCGAGCGTGGAGTTTTTGTAGTGGGCCGGGCTGATAGAGCACCCTTCGCAACTTGTTTTTCTGTAATTTTACCTTTTCTTTTTCTGGTAAGGCTTTTCCACGTCAAAGAAAATATCGAATTAGAGTATCCGACACGCAAAAATGTTTGGCAAGTTTGTACACCATCTAATTATATTAATTGTTTTAATAAAAGTGTTTGAGCCCGATCGACTGGGGGTCGCTCGGGTCCAAGGGGTTTGGGGTGTCAGCCATGACCTTGAAAGGGTAGGCGCCCCTCCTCGTCCGAAGTAGAAGAAGAGAAGTAGTATGTAGAGAGGGAAAGTAGAGAGAAGATAGAGTAAAGAGTAGATGATCTTATTTATGAGGAGAGAACTCCTATTTATACACAATTGAGAGTTAGGTAATGGTCTGGGCGCCTGCCAAGCCATAAATGCTCTGGTCGGGCGCCTCAGACTCTCTGACACTGTTCATAGTCCTTTTGGCAGAGGGTGTCCCCCTGCCCCTTGTCCTTGCTGATGTCAGGTGCCTGACCTTGTCTTTTGTCCCCCAGCCTTGTCTTTTTCCTCTTGTCTTCTTCCTTCTCCATGCCATTAGCCATGACCTTAATCCCTTAATCACTATGATACCCTATCAATTGCCCCTTTTGGCGATGGCACAAGCAGTGTGGCATCGGCAAACAAAAAAAAAAAAAAACCCAAAAACTGAAGCTGAAAGGAAGGCCAACTACTAAGATAAAAAATAAAAATAAAAATAAAAATAAAAATAAGAATAAAAATAAAAGTGGAAATGAAAAAATAAAAATGAAAGTGAGAATAGGGAAGAATTAAGGAAGATATCCATACAGAATAGAAATAAAGATGGTGAATACGGCAATAGCAATTTGCAAGGATAATGCCTCTGCGATCGCGGCGGCTTTGAAAAATTTTGGGGGAGGATGTGAAAGCGCTACTCCCAATAGGCAACTTGTGGTGGTAGTGGGTTAAACACTCCATCAGACTTAGGCAAATTCGAGAGGGAAAGGTGGATGGGTTGGGCTTTAAATAGCCTGCATTGGGAAACGCCCCCTCTCTCCCCTACCCCCTATTTAAACTTCCTTTCCTCCCCCCTCCTTCATTTTTTCAGCCGCCCACTCTCTCCTCTCCCCCCTTTTCATTTTTTCGGCCGCCCACTCTCTCCTCTCCCCCCTTTTTTTTTTTTGCGATCTGCCTTCCTCTTCGGCGCCTCCCCCGCTTCGGCGCCTCTCCTTCCGATCCTCTGCGTCGCGCTTTGCATAGGCGTCCTCGCAATAGGCGCCTCTCCTCCAATCGCGCTTCGCATAGGCGCTCCTCTCGGCCGCCTTTCCTCTCCTCCTTGGCGCTCTGTTTTGCGAAGGCGCCTCTGCCCCGTCAACTCGGCCCGCGCCGCTTCCCCTTTCACTTTGCCGGGGCCTTCTGCATTTTTCGGCGCCACTCTTCGCGAAGGCGCCTCCGCTTCTTCCTTTTCCGCCGGAGCTTCGCGTCCATTCTCCCTACCCAATTCATTTTCGAAGGCGCCTTCCCTCTTCCTTCGGACGATACCTTGCTCGGCTCGCCCTCGTGTTCATCAGGTACGTGCTCTTTGGATTGGAATGGTGGCGCCTCCGATTGTATGCTCTTGAATAGAGAGGAGGCGCCTTCAGCTATTACCTATGATCATCCGATTGACAATTCGATTAGGGTTTCTATCATAGGCGCCTTTGATTATTGCCTCCAATTAGGGATTGTAGGCTGAAATACTTGTTGCCTATGATGATGACGATTATGATGATGATGGTTTTCGCTTATGATGGTGATACTTGCTGCCTATTTGTTGTCGAGTTTTTTGTAATGTCTAGGCGCCTTTGATGATGATTTTTAGGGAGGCGCCTCTCCTTTTTCTTGTTTGCCAAATTTTGCTGGGGTGGCGCTCTCCTCTGTGAGGCGCCTCTCCTTTATCTGTTTATCAAGTAATTGTACTCTTTGATAGGCGCCTTTGGTGATGATGATTTCGTGAGACGCCCCCCTTTGTTGTTAGCTTTTCTTGAGCGCTGCTTGACTGCTTCTCATTTTCTGACTGCTTTACTTCGGAAGTGCCTCGCTCTTATCCTGCACCTCACTCTTTGTGACAGGTCTTTTAGTATCGGGGCGTCCGAGGCGCCTCTCCACTCAGGGTCACGGGGTGCGATAACGGCTTTTTGCCTGCCTGCTATCGGCTTAGACGCTGCGCTCAATTCTCCTCTAGGATCCACTTCACTGCCCACCTCTCTCTTCTTGCTATGGCATCGAATAACTCGCAACCCTCTGCCTCTATGGGTGGCGCTGCTGCTCCTGCGAAAAGAAAGAACCAAGCCTCTACAAGCAGGGTTCGGAAAATGGGTAAGTTATGTTCTCTTTTCATTTTTATCTCCTTCATGCTAGCACTGGTGTTTAGGGATTGTTAGTTGATTGGGCAGTGTATAGAAAAGCTAAGTGGCGGCTCGCCGAGGCCGTTGATGATGCTGAGGGGGATGAGTCAGAAATACAGGAAGAGTTGTTTTCTGAGGGAGACGTATCAAGCGTAGATCCTGAGCCCGCCGTGGGCAATTTCAGGGCCATTGATGATTTGGATTACTGCCTACTGCTGTGGCGCGGTATGTGGGGTGGGCAGGCGCCTCCCCCTTCTGTTCGTCTTCTCGGCCCCGATAAGCGCCCCACCATCCAGAGGCATCGGGTTCTGACCTATATCCGTGGGTTGGGGTACCCCACAGATTGGGAGTATGCGCTTCCTGATCGCAATGGGCGTGTCGGTAGCTACCCCGAGGGCTGGTTTGCCATTTATTCAGAATATCTTAAGTGTGGCCTGAAGTTCCCTCTCGACCCTATTCTATCGGGCATCTTGGAGGTGATTGGGTGTCCCATTAGTTTCTTGTCCCCCTCACTTATTTTTCATACTTGTGCATTTCGCCTTATCTGTAAGCGCCTAGGCTACACCCCTTCTTTTTCCATCTTCCGGAGTATATATAATTTAGAGCGGGGCAAACATGGTTGGTCACCCGTAAAGCGTGACACCAAGTACCAAGGTCGGGTTTGCAAAGGCTCACCCAAGCTTCCCAGCAAATGGTATTGCTCCTATTTTTTCGTTAAGCCGCGTAGTGGTACCTGGCATGCTCTGACGGGGGCGCCCCTCTCCACCTTGTGGCGTGAGGGTTCGGTGGAGGAGTGGGCCAAGGACTTCCCTCTAGAGAAGCTTGAGCGTGAACAGAAGCATTACATTCTTCGAGCGCCCCCTGTGGATCTTAAGAGAAAAGGGGAGAGGGCGCGCGCGTTGGGAGAGCTCTACGATCATGGTATATTTCTTTAATAACAATTTTTATTTCAACTCTTTTACTTATGCTGCTTGCGTAACTCTCCTTTTTGCAGATTTTGACTACTCCAGCCTAGCGAAGATGACGAAGAAGGTTCCTGGGGCCTCCGGAGCTAGGGCACAGAAGGCGCCTAGCATCCCTGCCGAGCGGACTCCCCGTTCATCCGGCAAGGCGCTTGACGACATCGAGGAGGCGTCTCCTCGATTGCTTCCTTCCTTGGGGTCGCGCGACCCTCTCCCAGAGAAGACATTAGGGAAGCGCCATGCCTCGGCTGATTCTCCCGTTGTGGTTCCGAAGAAGAAGAATAAGCCAAGTCTTGGGAGTATTGATGAGATCCTGGCACCTCCTCGCTCGCGACGTGCCGTAAAGCCGAAGGAGCCTGTTCTAATCTCTCCGTCTGCTGCCCTCAATGCTCCAAGCGCCTTTACTTCGGCCTTGGAGTTGAAGAAATTCCTTAAGCTTCCCCTTGACGAGGGTACCTCTCCTGCAGGCTCGGCGTGCCAGCACTTGTTCCAGGTATGCTCCCACACACTTTTGCTTTTAGTAGATCATGCTTTATTACTAATCGTTGTTGTTTTTTGTTTAGGCGATGCTTGATGTGGTTACTCTTTCTGACAAGAGTGCGGAGAATCGGGATCGCGCCCATCAGAACTTCCTGCAGGCTTCTCAGCTGAAAACTGACAAGATCACTCTCCAAGGTGTCAATTCTCGTCTGGAGGATGAGTTGGCATCGGTGAAGCGGCAGCTTTCAGACGCCTTGGCTGCTGAGAGTGTTTCTGCTCGTGAGGAGAAGGAGAAGGAGATAGCATTCCAGGCGAAGCGGATTGAGACCTTGGAGAAGGAGCTGTTGGCGATGTCTGCTGCTAGGGGTCACCAGAAGGTGAGTCCTCTTGCTATGTCTTTCTTGTTCTCCCTTCATTCGAGCTAAGCGCGTAACCTTTTTTTTTTTTTTTTTTTTTTTTTTTTTTTTTTTTTTTTTTTTTTTTTTTTTTTTTTTTTAGGAGGAATTCAAGAAGAGACTGGTCAAGGAGCGTGAAGATGCCGTAGACGCCCACTTGTCATCAGCGGAGTTCCGTGAGTGGCAGCAGAACCTTCTGCTCGGAGTGAAGAAAAGAGCTTTCATCGGCATTCGGAAGAAGGTCCGTTCCGACAATCCTGACATGAAGTGGGATACTCCGGAAGTCTGGCAGGCCATGGATGATTACTTCCTCTTCCTTGGTACGGATAACGAGCCTTCTGACTCGGACCCGTACCCCTTGGATGAGGGTGACTCTTCGGCCGATGATGTGGAGGTTGATGTCGAGAAGGTTGGGGAAGAGGGAGTGGGTGACAACGTTGATGCCGATGCTGGTGCCGAGGAAGGTGGCGTGGACGTGGTTGCTGTCGATGGTCAGGGTGGCGCCTCGGATGGTGGTACCGATGGTGACTCTAGCTCGTCCGACAATCACTCGAGCAAGTCGGATTAGTGGAGCTGGGGCGTTTTTCTTTTCCTTGTTCGTCTGGACTTAGTCAATTTCTATGTTATCTTCTGCTCATTTCTCCCTTGCATGTCTATGGATGCTTAGCCTTCGGGCTGTTATTTTGAAACAGTGTTATCGGCAAGTTTTTCGTTTTCAGCAGCACCACCTATTGTGCAAGTTGTTTTAGCCCTGTCATATATTTGGTAAGAAATAGTAACGCGCCCAGGCTCTTTCTTTTTGGGGCGCCCCTGCGTATTCTTTGAAAGAGGAGTGGCGTGTCTAGGCTTCTCCTCGACGGAGGAAGCAAGTTTTAGGTCTCTTCACACGTATTCTTGAAAAAGAAGTAACGTGCCTGGGCTTCTTCTCGACGAAGGAAGCAAGTTTTAGGATTCCCATGCGTATTCTTGAAAAAGAAATAACACGTCTAGGCTTCTCCTCAACGGAGGAAGCGGGTTTGGGTGACCCCTTCTGCCGAGGCAGGAATTTTTACGAGGGATATCAATTTTATCACCTCTCATGGGGACTCGCACAGCGAGCGCCCGATACTTGGATGAAAACCAAGTGTAAGCGCTAGGGCTCTTCCGCTGGTTCGCGGGAAACATGTTCCGCTAGGATGCTTATCCTAGACAAGAACTTAGCTTTTCTTACGCGCACTCTTGAAAAAGAGGAAACACGCTTAGGCTTCTCCTCGACGGAGGAAGCGAGTCAGGAGAGACTCCATCTGTTAAAACAGGGATAGTTTTGCCTTGCCGAGTAATGAACCTCCATTCCTTGAGCAAAATAAAGGGTTACATGGGGTATCGCCAGGGTGCGTCCCCTTTCCCATAAACTTCGATTAATACTACTCTGAAATATGACTCCTATGTTGCTACCTTCTTTAGGGTGTCTTTGGGTTGCACCTCTTTGAAGGCGTCCCTCCCCCTACAAAAATGCCTATCTTTTGGATTACTTTGAAGTAAAGAAAAGTAAAGAAAACTGAACACACTCCGATTTTCCTTAGGGTGTCTTCGGGCTACGTCTTTCCAAGGACGCCCCTCTTCCCTACAAAATGTCCATCTTCCGACTACTCTCGTGCTTCCTGGTCGCACATGTACTTCCTCAGATGCTTTGCATTCCAAGTCTTGCTCACACGTTCTGCCTCCATGGTGGCGAGCTTGAAAGTGCTTGGACCTATTACCTCCCTTACGACAAAGGGTCCTTCCCATTTAGCAGCCAACTTCCCATGATTCGGGTTAGGACGGAATACTTTCCTCAGGACAAGATCTCCTTCTTCGATGTGATGTGGCCTCAGCTTTGAGTTGTAGTATTTTGCCAACTGCTCCTTATCCTCCACCAATTTCCTAAGCGCCTGAACTCTTTTCTCGTCTAGCATGTCTAGCTCATGAGCCATGCTTGCGTTGTTTTCTTCGCCGAAACATTGGACACGCAAGGTGGGCAACGCAACTTCCGTGGGGGTTACTGCTTCTGCACCAAAGGTTAGGGCGAATGGGGTCTCGCCTGTGGAGCTTTTGGGGGTGGTGCGTAGTGCCCACAGGACGTGAGGGAGCTCGTCCACCCAATTTCCTTTCTGCTCATGAAGACGCTTCTTCAGTCCTTGAAGTATGGTTTTGTTTGCCGCCTCTGCCTGTCCATTTGCTTCTGGGTATGCTACTGACGAGAGCTTGAGCTGGATATTGTAACTTTGACAGAAATCTGCGAAGGAGGTACAGTCGAACTGTTTGCCATGATCAGTGACAATAGAGCTTGGGATGCCAAACCGTGCCAGTATGTTGTTGAAGACAAATTTCTCGACTTGCTTTGCTGTAATGGTGGCCAGCGGCTCAGCCTCAATCCACTTTGTGAAGTAGTCCACTGCTACTATAAGGTATTTCCGTTTTCCCGATGCTTTGGGGAAAGGACCCACCAGATCCATCCCCCACTGGGCAAAGGGCCAAGGACTGACGTTTCCTTGCATTGCGGTGGCTGGGAGGTGATGCTCCTGGGCATGGGTTTGGCACGCGTGACATGCCGCAGCGAATTGTTTTGCATCATTTCTCATGGTTGGCCAGTAGTACCCTTGCAGCTTGAGTGTTCTTTCCAAACTTCTCGGCCCCCCATGTCTCCCACACACACCCTCATGAATTTCGCGGAGTGCCCACTTTGCTTCAGCTTTTCCCAGGCACCTGAGATATACTCCCTCGAACGACCGTCGGTGTAACTCCGAGCCAATAATAGTGCAACGTGCCGCCCGCCTTCTTACTCCTGTGGCCTCTTTTGGATCTGTCGGAATGGTGCCATTCATGAGGTATTCAACGATCGGCACCCTCCAATCTTGCTCCTCTTGATTGACGTTAACACTGTTTACCCCCATTTCCGGAGTGTTCGGGCTCTCCTTTTCGACAATTACATGTCGTTCCTCTTCAAAGTCGACGGCTGTGGCTAATTTGGAAAGCGCATCCGCGTGCGCGTTGTCACCTCGCGCTATATGAGAGAGTTTCCAATCCTCGAAACCCTGAGCCCTCTTCTTTGCTTCTTCCACGTAACGCAGCAAACAATCTTCCTTGACTTCAAACTCCCCCAGCACCTGCCGAACCACCAATGCGGAGTCGGAGAAGACGTCCAGGCGCCTTGCCCCTAGCTCCTCTGCGATGCGCATGCCGTTGATAAGTGCCTCGTATTCTGCCGCATTGTTGGTTTTAAGTGTTGAGAATCGTAAGGCCACTTCGTGTGTGACTCCCCCTGGCGTCTCCAAGACTATGCCCGCGCCTGCCCCTGTCTTGCTTGCCGCACCATCGACAAACAGCTTCCACCTTCCTTCATCGACTCCCGTAGGTTCGATCGTTCCTTCTGCCACAAAATCTGCTAGGACTTGAGCCTTAATTGAAGGTCGAGGAGCATATTGGATATCGAACTCACTTAGCTCGACTGCCCATTTGGTTAGACGTCCCGAAGCATTTGTGCTGTGAAGAATTCTCTTCATTGGCAGGTTAGTTAGTACGGTGACCGTGTGTCCCTGAAAATAGGGCCTCAGTTTTTGGGCGGCAGTTACCAATGCCAGGGTTGCCTTCTCGATGGCTGGGTACCTTCTTTCAGTTGGGAGAAGCGTCTTGCTAATGTAGTATACCGGCTGATCTGCAAGATTTTCAAGGTGACGCCGAACAAGCACCGCACTGATAGCTACGTCTGATATGGCTATGTAAAGGAACAAACGCTCTCCCTCCTTCGGAGCTACGAGGATGGGGGGATTCACTAGCAGAGTCTTCATCTCTTCGAACGCCTTCTCACATTCTTCCGTCCACTTGAACTTGGATTTCTTCTTTAGAGAATTGAAAAGTGGGGCGCACCTATCCGCTGACCTTGGGATGAACCTGTTAAGAGCGGCGAGTTTACCTGCCAACGCTTGAACCTCTTTTACTGTTCTTGGTGACTTGAGTTCGGAAATTGCTTTTATCTGCTTGGGATTAGCCTCAATACCACGGCGAGTGATCATGAAGCCTAAGAATTGACCCGCACCTGCTCCGAATACACACTTAAGGGGGTTAAGCTTCAGATTGTGACGCCTCAGGTTCTCGAACGTCTCCCTGAGGTCGCTCAGATGGTCACCCTCTTTCTTGCTCTTGATTAACACATCATCTACGTATGCCTCCACATTTCGTCCTATCTGTTCTCCAAATACTTTGTCTACCATCCTCTGATAGGTGGCACCCGCGTTTTTCAGACCAAATGGCATCACTACATAGCAGTAGTTCCCATACGGGGTCATGAAAGCCGTTTTCTCTTGATCTTCTTCGCTGAGAGGGATTTGGTGGTACCCTGAGAACATGTCGAGAAAGCTTAACATTTCGTGGTTGGAGGTGGCATCGACCAGCTGGTCAATTCTTGGTAAGGGGTACGGGTCCTTCGGGCATGCTTTGTTTAGCGAGGTGAAGTCAATACACATTCTCCATGTCCCGTTGTGCTTCTTGACTAACACTGTGTTCGCCAACCACTTCGGGTACTGCACCTCTCGGATGAATCCTGCCTTAAGTAACTTTTGTACCTCTTCCATCATGGCTACCCTCCTTGCCAACGACGCTCCCCTTCTTTTTTGCTGTACTGGCACGCTTTCTGGTTTCACAGAAAGCTTATGTTCCATGAGGTCTCTGGAAACTCCTGGCATGTCTTCAGGACTCCAAGCAAACAAGTCTGAGTACTCTCGTAATAAGTTGATCATTGGGAGGCGCATGTGCTCCGGCAAATGGGCTGAGAGTCGGACGACTCGGCTTGGGTCGTCGGGGTCTAGTGGCAGCTCAATTTCTGAATCTACTGCTCCTGGGCGCGGCACCTCTGTTGGCCTGGCATCAATCGTGTGTATTTTTGGTTTGTGTAGGGTCGCTGCATAGCACGCCTTTGCTGCCTTCACATCTCCTCTGGCTATCCCCATTCCTTGGGGTGTTTGGAATTTCATTGCTTGATGACAGGTTGAGGCCACAGCTCCAAACTTAGCTAGGAAAGGCCTTCCCAGAATGGCATTATAAGCGGACGGGCAATCGGCAATGTGGAAGTCCACTGGGTGTGTAGCACTCGGCTCCTCATCTCCTACCTTGACTTTTAGGCGCGCCGTTCCTAACACCTTCACCTTCGCTCCGGAGAAGCCGACAAGTTGGGCTTCTGAAGCTTGCATCACCTCAGGGGGTGTCTGCATTTGGCGCCAACAAGAGTAGAAGAGTATGTCAGCGGAACTCCCACTATCCACCAGCACTCTGAACACCTTGAAACCTTCTACTTGTATGTTGATGACGAGAGGGCTTTCAGACGGGCCCTCTGGAGGATAGTCTTGTGATGTAAACGACAGGTCGGGACCATCTTGTTTTGCGATCTTCATACACCATGTGTCGCTTGCCTGCCCCTTGCGCTTTTTCTTTCGGCTAGGCTCCCCTCCCGCGATGGTTCTTATCTCCTTGACGTTCGGGTTGGGGCCTAGGCGCTCCTGTACTGGTGGCCTGGCGACCGGGGAGCGGCTGCGCTCCCGCGGGGATTGGTTTCCCTGATCTGCCTTTTGGATCATCTCCCTTACCCCTCCTCGATCGGAGATTATCTTGAGCGCTTTTTTGAAGTAGTGGCAGTCGACGGTGTTGTGAGTGCGCGAGTTGTGGTACTCACAGTACATGTTCGCCTGCCCACGAGATTGGTTCACATTTTCGCGATTGGTGCGATCGCGGCGAGGCTCTTGT